CTGCTGGGTGAAGCCCTTGGCTACGTAGCGCGCTTTGAACACCGGTGCCTCGTCTGGGAGCTGTTTTACACGGAACAACCACTTGCCCCCGACGATGTTGACTCCTGGAGGTGGAGTCTCGTCGTCGAAGGAGTGGTTGCGGGTGAATGCTGCAATCTCCGCGTCCATGGCAGCACGCCATTCGGCAGCATGAGGGCCTGAGAGAGCCTCTTGGACGGTGAGAGGGATAGGGATGGTCGGGTTCTCCGCGAAGTTGAGGGAGGGTGAGCCAGTGATGTCGGGGAAGATGTGTGAGAGCTGAGGAAGGACTGCATGGAGATCACACAGTTCCTCATGCCTGTCTTCTAGAAGGGTAGAGGGCACATCCCCCCCAGTAGGAGGAGGCGGTGTGGGCTGTGTATCGAAGAACCATCGCGAGTGGAAGAGTAGCGCGATGTGAGCGAGTGCCATGAGCCACCGGAGAAGAGGGTGGGGCTGGCGGTGTCGGAGAGGGTGACTTAGTAGGCTGGGGCGGGGGAATGGGCCGCCGGCGGTACGTGATCAGCTCGGGCGACTGTGGGAGAGCGGGTTCCTCTGTGGTGGGGGGAGCCGGGGGAGGAGGTGGGGCCGGAGGGTGGGACCGCCGATGGTAGGTGATAGGTGCGCTCGGAGGGGGCGGCGCAGCGGGAAGTGGGGAAGGTGAGGGGGAGGGAGGAGCAGCTGCCGAAGACACCGGTGAGGCCGGGTCAGTGACCTCAGAGGGAGATGGTGCGATGGCAGGAGAGGGAGGAGGTGAGGGAGCAGGAGCAGGCGGGAGGTCGGGAGGCGCATCAAAGTCTGCCCACACGAGGGAGGGTGGATCAGGGAGAGGGTCCCGTCCCGAAGGGGAGTAGAATGGGCGGGTCTCATCAAAGACAACGTCACGGCTCCTGACCAACTGGTGAGTGGAGGGATTGAGGAAGAGGTAGTCAGGTGAGTCGGCGTTGTGCCCGAGGTAGATGCACGTCTGAGTCTTGGGACCGAGCTTGCCACCGTTATGCCGTCGAGCCTGAGGGTTGAGGAGGACATAGGCGGTGCATCCCCAAACGCGAAGAGAGCGAGCAGTGGGCGTTTTCCCGAGCCAGAGTGTGGTTGGAGTGGTGTCGGGAAGGTGCGGGTGGGGGTAAAGGTTGTAGAGGAGGGCGGCGTGGTAGAGAGCGTACCCCTAGAGAGAGTGTGGAGCGTTGGAGTGGCTGAGGAGGCACCGAGTGATCTGCACCAGGGTGTGGTTGCGGCTCTCAGCTATGCCGTTCTGTTGAGGGCTGTCAGGGAGGGTGAAGTTTTGCTGGATGCCTTCGGAGGAGCAGAAGGCTTTGAGCTTGTCGTTGCAGAACTCACCCCCCCCATCCGAGTGAAGGCGCTTGACCTTGCGGTCAAAAGTGGTCTGTGCCTGCTTGACCCACGCTATGATGACCTCGGGTGCCTCAGCCTTAGTGTGGAGGAGGTGAACAGAGACGTAGCGGGAGTGATCATCCACAATAATAAGGAAGTAGCGATAGCCACCTCGTGCGAGAACAGGGGCAGGGCCCCAGACGTCCATGTGCACGAGGTCCAGTGGTGCTGCAGCGACTGTGGGTGAGGCAGGATGGGGCTGTTGGCGCAGTTTGCTCTTGGTGCAATCAAGGCACGTGGGAGCTGGTGAGTCAGGTGGTGGAGGAAGTGCGGCTGGCAGGCCGAGGAGAAGTTTCTTGGAGGCCATGTCAGCAAGAGTGCGGAAATTTGGGTGCCCGAGCCGATGGTGGTAGAGGATGGTCGGGTTGGAGAGGGTGCGACATGAGCATGGTGTGATAGTGGCCTGTGCTTGGGTGGTTGACACCTGTGGGTAGACATGATCACGAGTCGAGTCGAGTCGAGTCTCTTGAAGTCGTGGTCAAGTCGTGATTATTGTCGAGTCGAGTCGAGTCGAGTCACTCTCGAGTCGGTTTTAGGGCGTATGCTGACTCGAGACTCGATTTAGGGGTCGAGTCAAGCCTGACTCGAGGGCGAGTTAGGCGACTCGCGAGTCAGGTTTGGCTCGACCTGTATTTCTGTTTCCCAAGTGCAAAAAATCATGTTAGCACAGGGAGTAATCTTTCGAAGTGTCTAGATCCAGCACGAAACCAACGAATACCTTAATGCGAGGAAACAAGTGGCGAAGTTCGTGAACGTTACAATTTCCATGTGTCAGAGCCACCCAATCAGTATTTTTCGTGAACGATAGAATCTGCCTCTGTCAGACCCTTGGCGCGAAATGTCATTTGATGTGAATCGGTGTGCTGGATCTGTCACAAAAGCACCGTCCAACCCTAAACCCTGGTAGTTGGAGATTTCGTGATTATACAAACATCTACGTGCCAAACCCTATTGGCGAGCAAGCAGTTTGGCGAGAAAGCAACGCGATGTGCTGAACCGTTGCGAAACAATCAAAATCGCTTACATGTTCGGCCCAATGAACTGCTTTCGTAATTTTCGCATTCCATTCGTCACATCCCAGGGCACGGCAATTCACCAAACCCTGAACCTGAGCTCAAACATTGGCGTATTTCGTGACTGTCAAAATCCACCTGTGAAATAACACGTTGGTTTCCTAGTCAGCTTACACGTGTTTCGATGTAGCGATAAGGAGTTTAGGGTAGGTACGTACACACACGTAACAACCACTAGACCCCTGTTCTTAGTGGCATCGAGTCAATCGACTCGTCTCCGCACAAAGACTCGTACGAGTCAAAGTCGAGTCGAGTCAACGCTGACTCGGCGACTCCAGGGTCGAGTCAGCGATGCATCGCCAATCTGACAAGCGTGACTCGACTCGACTCGTCACGAGTCAAATCCCTAAACACAGATACTCGACTCGATAAAAAAACGAGTCGAGGCGGCGAGTCGATGCAGAACTCGCCTCGCGTGATCATGTCTACCTGTGGGAGAGGGACGCGTAGCGTGTAGAGGCCGTTGCTGTTGAGGGTGTAGCGGGCCAGAGTTTTGTTGGTGCGTGGATCGATGATGTCGCAATAGTCCTCGTTCTCTGGGAAGATGGTGCGTAGCCCCGCCTCCTGAATTTCTGTTTGGGCAACTAGATTGTGACGCAGTGAAGGCACGCACATGCCAGTGACAGTGCCGGATGGGAAGGCGGGGCATGGGACTGTGGAGGTACCCTTGGCGAGGGTGGTGAAGCTTGAGTCAGCTCCTAAGAGAGGGATAGGTGTTGGGTAAGGTTTGAAGGAGAAGGTCTCCTTGAGCACGGTGTGAGTGGCCCCGCTATCGAGTGTGAACTCTATGTATTGTGGTGCTTGTGATGAGCCGATGTACTGTGGGGTAGCTTCATTAAACATGGCGGTGCCAGGGAACAACAGGTTGATACGCACATCAGCAGGAGCAGCATCACTAGCACTAGCCGAAGCGGGGTCCTGGACCTCAACTAGGTTGGCCTTGCGAGAGCGCATCCAATTCGGCGGCTTCTTGTCCACTCCGTGAATGGCGTACCATTCGTCGTCTTTCTTCTTGAAGCACGTAGCAAGGGGGTGGTTAGTGCCACCACACACTTGTCCCTTGCGATTCCCATACTTGACGACGTAGGGGCACGGAGGAAAGCGGTTGCGCTGGAAGGGCGCCGAGGCGAGAGCCGCTGCGACACTTGCTTGAGGCATGGGAGCGCGGATAGCGTACGCCTTGGCCTGAGCCGTGGAGTCTTTCTCGGCAGAGAGGAGTGCGGTGGAGACCTTAGCAAAGGTGAGGTCTTCTGCTGAGAGTGTGAGGAGCATCTTCCTCGTGACCTCATATGCCGACGTGAGGCCGACAAGAAGGGCGGCTGCAGGGGCTTGCTCGGGGAAGACTATACCCAGCTCCTTGAGTTCGCCATGAATGGTCTGCACCTTGGCAATGTAGTCGGCCATTCCCGAGCAGTCCTCAAGGCGGACCTGAAACATGCTAGGGATGAGAATGGCCACGCCGACCGCCGTCTTGTTCATGAACCGATCCTGGAGGTACTTCCAGATGGCGTTGGAGGTAGGGTAGTTATGGAACGTGTTGACAAGTTCGGGAGGGGTGGAGGCGATGAAGACGCTGATGATGGCAGCATCGGCCTTCTCCCATTTCCGGTACTTCTCAACAGCCTCCTCGTACGCCCTCACGTCAGTATCACTTGAAGATTCGGTCGGCTCACGGGGAATAGTAGGCTGTTTCCCCTTGCCACGGTTGAGGAGGACGTCCTTGAGGTCAAGGCCCTGCACGTCACGGCTCAGGAGGTGCTTGTCAACTCCGTAGCTCCACGCCTTGAAGTTGGAGCTAGAGCCATCAGCTTCAAGGCGGAGCGGGGTGATGGGGTTCGCCATGGTGGAAGACGAGAGAGCCATGGTGGAGACCCCTTCTCGCGCGGAGCGCCGCTCTTAAGTCACCGGCGCGCAGCGCGGCGATTTTGAAATCCGACGGACCGGAATAGCGAAAATCGTCAATGTCGGCCGCTTCGAAATGCCACGTAGAAGGATTTTCAGGCCGCCAAAATTAGGTCGAAGCGGCCGATTTCCTTAGATCTAACACTAATCCCACACACCCCCCCACACACCACCCTCAGCTTCGCGGCTGCGCTGCTGCTCGGCTTCGCGGCTACACGGCTGCTCTGCTTCGCGGCTACGCTGCTGCTCGGCTGCGCTGCTGCACCTGTTCAGCTGCGGGAAGGGGGAAGGGGTAGGAGTGCAGATGCGGGGCGACGGGCGGCAGCCCGACGTGAAGCTGCGGGGCGACGGGCGGCGGCCCGACGAGAAGCTGCAGGGCGACGGGCGGCGGCCCGACGAGGAGAAGAAGTGACGAATTGAAGTTGGAAAACGAGTGTTAGGTTATAGCGCGGACGATGCGCTTACCAGAGAAACTTCCGCTGAAAGTGACGGGAAGGTGCAGCGGGAAAATTTCCGCCGACGAATGTCGCGAATCACCGGCGACGAGGTTGACGATGGCTTCGCCGAGGTTTGCGGGACGAGTACCCGCAGAGGTAAGAGGATCACGATCCGCGTATGCGGTTGAAGGGCTTAGAAGTAATACATTAGTAATGAGCTTGAAGCTCTTTAAGTACATCCAAGAGGGGTAGGAAAAGGATGGGGAAGGGAATCGGGGGCAATCTCTAGGGATTGGGGGTAATCCCAAGGCAATCTCCAATTGGTGGGTTGGAGATTGGTTGGAGATTACATTTGGGTTTGGTTGGGATGTAGGTGTACACCCAACCAAACACAATGTGCAAACTACACTACTCTAGGATATAGAAAATACAAAGTACAAGATGTGAGATTGAAGACTAACACTAACACTAGAAACTGGTGAGCTGCTTCGGGAGGTATCAGCAGAAGTGAGTTTCATCACAGACGCGCCCACCCTCCTGGCTGCCAACCTCTTTCTCCTTCCTGGCCCCTCCTGCCCCATCCTCCTCCCCTCCTCGCTCGCCTCAGGTGCTGGAAACTGGTGAGCTGCTTTGGGAGGTGTCAGCGGAGGAAGTGAGATTTATCACAGACGCGCCCACCCTCCTGGCTGCCAACCTCTTCTCCCGCCTGTTGCTCCTGCCCCTCCTGCCCCATCCCCCTCTCACTCTTTCCTTCCCTCAGGTCCTGGAAACAGGTGAGCTGCTTCGGGAGGTGTCAGCAGAGGTCAGTTTCATCACAGACGCGCCCACCCTCCTCGCTGCTAATCTCTTCTCTCGCCGCTGCATCCTCCAAGTCACTCCCTCCGCCGTCCGATTGCTCGCCAGCTCAGCCAGCCTGCTGCAGGAGATGCTGCCACGTGGCATGGTGGACGAAGGTGGGGAGGGGATGGAGGAGGGGAAGGATGGGGGAGAGGACGTGGAGATTGAGTCTGCTGACGTGGCGGATCCGTATGTCATGCTGCGATTGGTGGACGGCAGATTCGTGCTACTAGGCCCAGGTAATGCTCCCGGTTTCTGTAAGAGCAGTTTGGCTTGGCTCAAAGACTTCTTACATGATGGTTTCTTCCTGTTTGGTTTGGTGAGTGCATGATGCTGAAAGATGATGCTGAAAGATGATGCTGAAAGATGATGCCAAATCGAAACTAACAACTCTTTCCTCGTTCCCTTCATCATCCCACCCTGCAGACCCGTCCAAGCCTCTCTCCCTGGTGCCCATTCCATGCCACCTGCCCACTCCTCCCTCTGATCCCATCACAGCCTTTTCCCTCCTCCTCTCCCCCTCGCCATCCACAACCAATCTCAGTCGCTCCACAACCACTAACAGCAGCACCAGCGCCAGCAGTGCATTAGCTTGTGCCCTTGGCAGTAGTGGTTGCAGCAGTGGTGGTAACAGTGGCAGTAAAGGAACTCCCTCCTCTACTGCTGCTCCTCCTCCTTCTCCTCCTGTTCCCTTGTGTGCGGTGGCTCGTAGATCCGGCCTGCTCCAGATGTACCTGCTCCCCTCCCTTCGCAGCGTGTTCTCCTCTCTGGGCCTTGCGGATAGTCACACTCTCTTGAAGCACACTCCTGCTGCAGCCGCTGCTGCTGCGGCTGTTGCTGCTGCTGCTGCTGCTGCTGCAGCTGCAGCAGAGGCAGGCAAAGGAGGAAAGGACTCTTTTCCTGCAGCAGAAGAAGCTACAAAAGCTACAGCCACTGCTACAGCTGCTGCTACAGCAGGGAGTGAAGCCATGGAGGTGGACTTAAAGCCAGGGGATGCTGAGAAGGAGGCAGTGGGGAAGCAGGGGTCGGGGAAAGGGGGGGTGGGAGGAGATGAGGAGATGGTGGTAAAGGAGGAGAGGAGGGATGGGGAGGGGAAGGATGAGGGAAAGAAGGAGGCGGAAGAGGGCGATGTTGAGATGGATAGTGGCAGTGGTGCTGGCAATGGTGTGGGTAAGGGCACAGACGTCAAAACAGGGGAGGAGAGCGTGAAAATAGAGGTGAAAGTAACAGAGGGGTCACAGAAAACAGAGAAGGATGGGCAAGCAAGGGCAGTAGCAGCACACACGCCTGCACCAGTTGCCACCTCAGCACACACGTCAGCGCCTGATTGGCCAAAGCAGTTTGTCGTGGATCTGCATGTGTCTGTCAACCCCGTCACCGGGCGGCTGTTTTTGTTTGTAGTGCTTTCAGACGGACGGCTGCTGGGATTCAGAGCGTTCTGCCCCTCGGGAGCTTCCCCTGGAGATGTGATTGCAGCGAGTGTGACAGTAACGGGGGAGCGGGGTGCGAAGGTGGGAAGGCGAGCAGAGGGGGGAGGAGGGCAGGGGGTGGGGGAGGGTGAACCTGGAGGAAGAGAAGGTGGAATAGGGGTAGGTGGATCAGGGGGATTTGGGATAAGTGGGTTGCGTTTCCAGAGGGTTTGTTTAGAGGAGGAAGAGGCAGGGATTCATGAGGTGGAGGGGGAGGAGGAAGATGAGAAGGGGAAAGGGGAGCGGGCAGTGGGGAGAGGGGCAGGTGCTGGTGATGGGGGAGGAGGGGGAGAAGGTAGGGTGAAGCAAGAGGGAGGTGAGAAGGGGGAGGGTGAAAGTGGGGGAGGTGAAAGTGGGGGTGGTGAAAGTGGGGGTGGTGATACTGCAGCAGAAGAGAAGGCGCAGGGGGAGGAGGGTGCGGAGAGGAGCAGGAAAGCTGGGAGAGCGAGAAAGAAAATGCTATTCCCGTTTCAAGGAGTGGGGTTGGAGGGGAGTGGAGGAGGGGGCGGAGGAGGGGGTGGAGGGGGCGGAGGAGGGGGTGTGGGTGGGAGGGGTAAGGGAGGTGTGGGTGATGGGGGTGGTGGCATTGGCGGTCTGTTTGTGGCTGGGAGCAGACCCAGATGGCTGATGCTACTGCGGGATAAAGTGTGGATGCACCCCGTGGTGAGTCTCGGTCAAGCACACCATGCTGAGTCATGCACGCCGTGCTGAGTCAAGCTCACCATGCTGAGTCATGCACGCCGTGCTGAGTCATGCACACCATGCTGAGTCATGCACACCGTGCTGAGTCATGCACACCATGCTGAGTCATGCACACCATGCTGAGTCATGCACGCCGTGCTGAGTCATGCACACCATGCTGAGTCATGCACACCGTGCTGAGTCATGCACACCGTGCTGAGTCATGCACACCATGCTGAGTCATGCACGCCATGCTGAGTCATGCATGCCATGCTGAGTCATGCACGCCGTGCTGAGTCATGCACACCGTGCTGAGTCATGCACACCATGCTGAGTCATGAACACCATGCTGAGTCATGCACGCCGTGCTGAGTCATGCACACCATGCTGAGTCATGCACACCGTGCTGAGTCATGCACACCATGCTGAGTCATGCACACCGTGCTGAGTCATGCACACCATGCTGAGTCATGCACGCCATGCTGAGTCATGCATGCCATGCTGAGTCATGCACGCCGTGCTGAGTCATGCACACCATGCTGAGTCATGCACGCCGTGCTGAGTCATGCACACCATGCTGAGTCATGCTCACCGAGCTGAGTCATGCACACCATGCTGAGTCATGCTCGCCGTGCTGAGTCATGCACACCATGCTGAGTCATGCACGTCGTGCTGAGTCATGCACACCATGCTGAGTCATGCACGCCATGCTGATTCATGCACACCATGCTGAGTCATGCACGCCATGCTGAGTCATGCACGCCATGCTGAGTCATGCACGCCATGCTGAGTCATGCACTATGTGCTGAGTCATGCATGCCATGCTGAGTCATGCACTACGTGCTGAGTCATGCACGCCATGCTGAGTCATGCACTACGTGCTGAGTCATGCATGCCATGCTGAGTCATGCATGCCATTTTGAGCCATGCACGCCATGCATACAAACCTATGCTTTGGTATCTCGCGCCTTTGATTGTGCTTCCAGCAAGTAGTTAAACGTTCCTGAAATTCTTCCCTAGTTTCCCCTCGTCTCCCTCGTTCCCTCCATTCTTCCCCTGTCCACACATGCCACCCACATGCCACACATCATATCACATATGCCCCCTGTCTCAACACAGGCCATGGATGCAGCATCGAGCGTGGTGGCTATGGCACCCTTCCACAACGTCAACTGCACTCACGGCTTCCTCCTCATCTCCTCTCTTGGAGTGCTCTCCATCTGCCAGCTGCCGCCGCTCTTCCAGTTTGACAACGCATGGCCCCTCAATAAGGTGTGTGTGTGCATACAAGGATTGGGTTATTGGACCAAGTCGCGCGCCTGGACCAAGTCGCGCGCCTGGACCAAGTCGCGCGCCTGGACCAAGTCGCGCGCCTGAAACAAGTCGCGCGCCTGGACCGAGTCGCGCGCCTGGACCAAGTCGCGCGCCTGGACCGAGTCGCGCGCCTGGACCAAGTCGCGCGCCTGGACCGATGGTCGCGACTTGGTCCACGCGCGTGACTTGGTCCAGGAGGTGCAGGTGGGCACTGCAGGTTTCAAAAACCACTTGGCACACTCGAATGCCTACCTACCTCCTCCACTCTCCTCCACTCTCCCCCACTCTCCCCCATTCTCCCTCCCTCCTTTCACAGATTCCCCTGCGTTCAACCCCTCATTCGGTCACTCTCTCGCCCGACGCAGCTCATCTCTTCCTCGTCACTTCGACCCCCGTATGCCTCTCACCTTCCTTCCACCTTCACTTCTGCCCTCCCCACTTTATCTTTACGCTCCCAAACTTTCTGATTATACATTGCAGCGCTCCATCTCCCTCCTCTCCCTCTCCTTCGCACTCAGACGTCTCGTCGTATCTCCTAGTTTCTCATTCCCTCTCTCACCCCCATTCGCTCTCGTCACCCTTCCTGTCCTCCATCTCTTCCTCTCGCCCTTTCCCCCTGCAGGTGTCCCGCCCAGTCTCTCAGTTCCTCGTTCCATCCCTAGAAGACCCAAAAGACCCTTCAACCGCAGCACTAGGCTTGGCCGGACCTGGAGGTCTGGGAGTTCCAGGCACCTCCGGCACAGGCTCGGAAAATGATGGCGAAGCAGTGGCTATGGTTGACGACTTCCAACTTCGGGTGGTAACCTGTCCGAGCCTGGAGGCTCCGAGCCGCGCCCTGGAGGTTCGGCAGAGCTTTGAGTTCCAGCCGTTTGAAGCGGTGACAATGGTGAAGTCAGTGGTGTTGAGGAATCGCAGCACTGGGCATCTGCAGACGCTCCTTGCAGTGTGTACGACGTTTATCACAGGGGAGGACGCACCCGGGAAAGGCAGGATCCTGCTCTTCGAGTATAACCCTCTGGCAACAGCTGATGGGCATGGTGCTGGTGCGACTGCAGCAGATGCTGAGGGCAAGGCGGCAGGTGGAAGCACAGGAATTCCCTTGGTAAGCCTGCTTTTGTTTGTGTCACTCTAGCAGTGTGTACGACGTTTATCACAGGGCAGGACGCACCCTCTCGCAACGGCTGACGGCGGTGTTGGTGCTGATGGTGCCGGTGCTGGTGCTGATGCAGAGGGCAAGGCTGCAGGTGGAAGCAGTGGAGTGCCATAGGTAAGCTTGCCTTTCTGCTGCCTCCTTTTACTTGTCTGTGAGCCTCTGTGAGCCACTGTGTGCCCTTGGTCAGCTCTCTTCCTAATGCCACCATCAGTCTGAGTGGCAATGTGGCATTGCTCGTGAATATGAAATACCCTGCATTTCTCTCTCTATTCTTGTCCTGCACTTAATCACACCAGCTGAGGGAGCTCTATTCAAAGGAGCCCATAGCGGGCAGCAGTCAACGAGGCAGCGTGGCAGCACTCACAGCACTGAAACAAACTCTCATCTCTCTCCATCCATGTCCCGTGCTTATGTCTTCACCAGCTGAGGGAGCTCTATTCAAAGGAGCCCATAGCGGGCAGCAGTCAGAGAGGCAGCGTGGCAGCACTCACAGCGCTGCAGGGCAATCTGCTGCTGGCGGTGGGGCGGCAGCTGGTGCTGTATGCATGGAACGGGGTGGAGCTAGAAGGAATCGCGTTCCTTGACGCTCCTCTATATGTGGTTTCCATGGCCACGGTGAGTGGTTGAGTTTCGGCTTAGAGCTGCAGGGCAGGGCAGGGAAGGGCAACCTGCTGCTGGCGTTGGGGCGGCAGCTGGTGCTGTATGCATGGAACGGGGTGGAATCAAAGGGAATTGCCTTCCATGGCAACTGTGAGTGGTCGGGTTGGGTCTGGTTCGGTACAATCACAGATCAGAGTGCTGCAACCAGTCGCAGGCGGTGGGGCGGCAGCTGGTGCTGTATGCATGGAATGGGGTGGAATCAAAGGGAATTGCCTTCCATGGCAACTGTGAGTGGTCGGGTTGGGTCTGGTTCGGTACAATCACAGATCAGAGTGCTGCAACCAGTCGCAGGCGGTGGGGCGGCAGCTGGTGCTGTATGCATGGAACGGGGTGGAATCAAAGGGAATTGCCTTCCATGGCAACTGTGAGTGGTTGGCATTTGATGGAGCTCCACGGCAGTTTTGAGAATGCTCTATAAAATGCCTTTTGAGACTCCACGGCTCAAAAGGCATGTTATAGAGCTCCACGGCAGGGAGACTTGTTCTGCTGGTGCTGGGACAGCAGTTCGGGGATGAGGCGGAGGTCGAGGTGATCACCTTTCTTAATGCTTCCCTTAACGATCAGCAATATGGCTATGAGTTGTTGTTCCCTCAGCTCATATGCCAGTATGTTGTTGTTGTTGTTGTCTAGACGATCACCAAACTCTCCACCCTCCCCCTCTCCCCGCTGCCTTGTGATTCAGGTGAAGAGCTTTGTGATTGTAGGGGATGTGCTAAAGAGCGTCTACTTCCTGCACTGGAGAGAGGAGGGCGCTCAGCTCACCCTCCTCGCACGCGACTTCTCCTCTCTTCCGATCACAGCCGTCGATTTTCTCATCGACGGCTCAGCTCTCGGCCTGCTTGCGGCCGACACAGCCAAGAACCTCCAAGTTTTTGCATACTCCAAGTCAATCGAAACACACATGGGGCAAAAGCTCCTCCTAAAGGCATCCTTTCACACAGGAGAGGTGCTCTCGAAGGTTCTTTGGTTGCCGCTGCCACCTCCTCTTGCTGCTGCAACAGGAGGAGGAGGGGGAGGAGGGGGAGGGCAGCAGCAGAGGAACCTAGCAGCGGCAGCTTCGGGCCGGACCAACAGGTTCGGCGTGCTGGCAGGCACGCTTGGGGGAGCAATTGCAGTGGTGACACCGGTGCCGGAGCTGGTATTTAGGAGGCTGGATACAGTGCAGCGTTACATGGTAACCGCAGTTGAGCAGACAGCAGGGTTACACCCGCTGGCGTTCCGGGCGGTGCAAGGGTTGGGAAAGGGACAGCAGCATTCCGGAGTGGAGCGAATGATCGACTCACAGCTTCTTGCTCAGTGAGTTCTCACGAGTGTTCGTACAACGGTCTCAAAACTCTTGCTGGGCTGTCATGAGTTTTCGTACAGCCATCAGCACGTACATGAGTTGCCCTTACAACCGACCCACCCTCATCACCCACCTGTATCTCCCACACATCCCATGCACCCATGCACCCATGCACCCATGCACCCATGCACACGCCATGGATGTAGTGACAGAGACCAGTCTGCACCCACATCAGCAGCACCAACCTCCATGCTCCCCATGTTTCCATCCACCCGTGCGCTCTTCATCCTCTTTACCCTTGTGTGTCCCTCGCATGCACGCATGCACCCACCAGGTACGCGCTAATGGAGGACAGTCAGCAGGAGCAGCTAGCAGAGGACATTGGCTCCACTCGTCCCATGGTGCTGCAGAACCTGCGAGACCTCGCACACAATGCCATGCTCTTCTAGTCAGGCTCTTCGACCAGGCTCTAGCCATGCTCGTGTGTGCTCTGTGCTTTGCACATTGAGAGCAGCAGCTAGCAGAGGATATTGGTTCCACGCGTCCCATGGTGCTGCAGAACCTGCGAGACCTTGCTCACAATGCCATGCTATTCTAGCCAGGCCCCTGCATCTGTGCTCTTCAACCCTAAACCCTTCAACCACTGTGTCGGGAAAGGGCCAACTGCTCTACGTAAGGCATAAGGCACCAAGGAGCAGCAGATGAGGCATATAAGGCACAAGGCATGGACTCCAGATGAGTCATGTCATGCCCATGAGTCAAATGGTGCTGCAGAACCTCCGGCCGGGCCGGAACTTCAAGCACAGCGCCTTGATCGCTAGGCTCTTCTAGCGAGTGCCTCTTAGAAAAAGCGGGATGGTGATCTATCTTCCTTCACTTACGGTACCCATGGACAATCATGAAGCACGGGTTGTTTACTTTACGCACGTGACACCTATTATGCACTGATCTGATTTGCCGGTGTTTTTGACACTTTGATTGACACAGTGTCAGGTTCAATCTACACCTCAGTAAAGACAGTTGCACTATCAAGCAGGGCAAAAAAAACAGTCACCGTGGAAGTTGTAGCACATCAATGTCAGAATGAAGAATGGATGATGCATTGATGTTGGTTGGGGTACATATAGCTAACCCTAAGTTTTGTACCCCCTAAGACAAACCTCACTATAGGCTACAACATTTGACACACCCCCATAGCCTAAGTGAGGGGTGTCTAGCAGAACCACACGAGTACGGTCACAAGACCAGTCCAAGAAACGAAGCTCAGGGTGGATCACAACGTCACCACACAGTCTGAGCACAAACAACAGTGGCCACAAGGCCAGTCCAAGAAGTAACAGAGGTATATAGAAAGCAAAGTAAACAGTACACTCAAGTCTAAGCAACACGAGAACCAGTGTCAACAAGGCCTAACTGCACACAGCACCTCTGGTGGTCACAAGGCGGAAGCGCCTTGGTGAAGATGTCTGCAGTGTTGGCCTCGGACTCCACAAACTCAAAGCGAGCCTGTCCACGTCTCTGCAACTCTCGCAGAAGAAAGTACCTGACGTGAATGTGCTTCACTCTGCTCTCCAGTCGTGGCTCTCGACAAAGGAGAATAGACGCCTTGTTGTCAGTGAACAAGGTCGGTGCAGAGCTCGGCCGCTCACCAAGGTCGGTGAGCAAGAAGGTCAACCAACGCAGCTCCTGTGCCGCCATGGCACCAGCGTAGATCTCAGCCTCAGCTGTAGAGGTCGAGACCGAAGAGGAGCGCGTGGACCGCCAGGAAACAGCTCCAGAACCCAGGCTGAAACAGTACCCCTGAGTAGACCTGTGAGTCTCAGCGTCGTCAGCGTAAGAGGAGTCACAGTGACCAGTAAGTACGACAGACTGCTGCCCTCCAAGAACTAGCCCCACGCCTGACGTCGTCGCTAGGTACTTCGCCACCCTCACAGCTGCTGTCCAGTGAACAGGACGGTGTCTCCCTGGCGCAACAAAGCGCGCAAGAACGCTGAGAGGGAAGGCGAGGTCCGGGCGAGTACAAGTCATCAGGTACATGAGGCAACCCACAAGCTCTGCGTAGGGACCACTAGGCTCGAACGGCTCGTCAGGAAAGGGTCCAGTGAGTCTGTGGTCAACAGCAAGAGGTGTGCGCTGTACTGTGGAGTGCTGAAGCCTGAACCGCTGAAGGACCTGCTGCACCATGTGCGACTGTGAAAGTGTAATGGTGCGAGCAGCTCTGTCCCTGGTGATCTGCAGGCCAAGGTAGTGGCGCAGCTCACCAAGATCAGTGCAGGTGTGTCTCTTCTGCAGTTCGGACTTCACGTGTGCCAAAGCAACCCTGTCAGGGGTGGCGAAAACAAGGTCGTCAACGTAGACCAGAACAAAGAAAGGTGTGGTGCCACGACGAACGAACAGCGACGGGTCAGCAGAAGACGGCTGGAACCCAAGGTCAGACAGGGTAGAACGCAGGGTGTCGTGCCACTCACGAGGAGCCTGACGAAGACCGTAAACCGGTCGCCTCAGCCTCCACTGGGTCCCAGGAGGGAAAGAGCCAGTGAAGGCAGAGGGACGACGCAACCAGACCTCCTCGTGAAGACTGCCCTGAAGGAAAGCAGTAGAGAAGTCGAGAGAGTGTAACTCGTAGTCTCTCTGTGCTGCTACGTGTAGTAACACCCGAAGAGTGGTCATCTTCGGGGTGGGCGCGAAGGTCTGAAAGAAGTCAACTCCCTCGCGCTGACTGAAACCTCTAGCCACGTAGCGCGCCTTGAAGACCGGAGGAGATCCCGGTGGCCGCTTCACCCTGTAGATCCACATGCCGTCGACTACGTTCGCCCCCGGAGGGGGAACCTCATCGACGTAGGTGCCTGTGGATCTGTAGGAGGCCATCTCTGCGTCCATGGCAGCTCTCCACTGAGAGGCCCAAGGCCCTGACACTGCCTCAGCGTAAGTGCGAGGAGTCGGAATGTCAAGGGCGTCGGGGTCACCCTCAGGGGCGAGGAGCATGGCACAGAGATGAGGGGAAGCGGCGGCCAGGAACTCTAGCTCAAACTGCCTGTCCTCTAGGGCGTCACAGCCAAGGGCAGACACACCCCCGACGGCCAGAGGACTGGAAGGAGGAGCAGCCACAAGAGCGGTGGCGAAGTCAAGGCGGCGGGTAGAGGCAAAGTCAGTGACTGCGGCAGTAAGAGCGGACACAGAGGACACAGAGGCACGAGGGTGAGTAACAAGTGAGGCGAGAACACGAGAGAGAAGAGGACGGTACGTGCGGTAGTAGTCAGTGACAGGAGTAGGGAGCGACGCAGTGAGAGCCGACTCAGGAGGAGACGGAAGCACAGACGGAGACGGACGAGGTGGACTAGAACGAAGTAAGGCAGTACGAAGGTCAGTGAAGGGAACAGGAGACGAGGGACGAGCACGAGGGGAGCGACGAGAGGCCCAAGTCTGAGAAGGAGGAGGGGACAACGAAGACTGAGAACGAGGGAAAACAGCGGGAGAGGGGTCAGGAGGAGGAAGCGGAGGACCAGAGACGGGAGGAGAGGGGGAGGAGGAAGGAGAGGGAGAGGGGAGACCAAGGGTCCGAGACAGGAGGAGGAGACGGCAGCTGCTGCTGCTGCGGCTGCTGCGGCTGCTGCGGCTGCTGCTGCTCCAGCGGCTGCTGCCCCTGCTGCTGTCGCTCCTGCTCCTCGAGCCGCTGCAACTCTCTCTCCTCTCTCTCCAACTCCAGCTGCTCCTCACGAGCACGGCGAACACGAGCCTGGAACCTGGTCGGGTAGGGGTGGGGGGAAGGAGTAGTGTCCGGGGCAGCGGCAGCCCCAGAGTCGACCTCCGAAGCACCAAGCACACCACCCCCAGAGGCAGCACCAACACCAGCTCCAGACCCAGGCTCTCCAGAAACCGAAGGAACACCCTCACCCCCAGACTCCGCACCAGCAGTGCCAGCCCCCGGAAGAGAAGAGTCCTCTGCAACCCGCGGCTCAGCTCCAACTCCAGCACCCCCAGAACCAGAGACCTGTACAGGGACAGTCGCAGGACCAACCTCCCGAGAGGGAGCACCTACAGGAGGCGGTGAGGAAGACTGTGGGGAGGGAGGCTGTACAGGGGGGGCTACCGAAGGGGGAGGGCTAGCCTGAGACACACCAGACGGGGCTGGACCAGGGGGGGGAGGCTGTACCGGGGGAGCAGGCGGGGGAGCGGCTGTCAGGAAGAGGGGGGGAGGAGGAACCGGGAGACCTCGACTGGGGTACCTGACGTAGTACGGGGTGGACTCCTCGAAACGGACGTCACGGGAGTCAAAGAACCGGTGAGAGGGAGGGTGGTAAAAGGTGAAGTCAGAGGAGTCCTCAGGGAAACCAAGGAAGACACAAGGAACGGCGCGAGGCGAGAGCTTGTCCGCGGAGGTGTCGCGGACAAGAGCCAAGCACCCCCAGACACGAAACCTCGACGCGACACCAGGGGACCCTGTCCAAAGACTGGTCGGTGAAGCCTCCGGCCGAGAGACGCGTGGCCAGAGGTTCAGCTGGTGCGCGGCGTACCTGACTGCGTATGGCCACAGGAAATGGGGGGCACGGGCGTGAGTCAAGGAGGTGCGGGCAATCTCCATGACCAGGCCTATGCGACGCTCAGCAACCCCATTCTGCTGTGGGGACTCCGGAAGCGTCCAGGACTGACGAATGCCCTGTTCGCGACAGAATCCAGCGAGAATGCCGGAGCGAAACTCGCCCCCGCGGTCGGAGTGGAGACAGCTGACACGACGACCACGAGTGTCCTGGGTGGTAAGCAACCACCTGATCAGCGTAGAAGTCACCTCAGACTTCCTCGCCAAGGGGAACACTGTGGTGTAGCGGGAGTAGTCGTCAACGACCACCAAAAAGAAACGCTCACGCTCAGGGCCAGGGCGAGGAGAGGGGCCCCAGACGTCCAAGTGCAGCGTCTCAAAAGGCTCGGTGGCCGGACGAAGGGAGGAGGAGTGAGGGGTGGCACGCAGCCTACCCTCGACGCAAGGACCGCACGGTGGTGCAAGGGACGGCGGCAGCGACGGCAAGACACGCGGGAGACCTAAGACCAGACGCTGACTAGACATAGCACGCAGACGTGGAAGAGAAGGGTGTCCCATCCGGTGGTGCCACAGAACGGTGGGGTGGGCAAGCGACCGACAGGAGCAAGACGCAGCGACTGGACTGGACGCGACAACCTGAGGGGACGGAACCACCTGGTGAGACGCAGGGAGGAGACTAGGGGGAGGGACAGGAACTGGGAGGAGTGGCTGCTGCGACGGCGGCCGCTGTGGCTGCGGCTGCGGCTGCTGCCGCTGCTGCTGCTGCGGCTGCTGCTGCTGCTGCAGTCGCTGCTGAGCGCGCGGGCCAGTGTGAAGAGTGTAGAGACCGGAGCCCGGCTCAGCAGCAAAAGTGGCGAGGGGCTGGTAAGAGTCCCCGTCAACACACACCGCAGTCTCTCCAGAAGGCTCAAACCACACACCCACGTGCTGACTCACGAGGGGTCGCACGCCCACCAAGTTCCGGGAGAACGAGGGGACGTGAAACCCAGTGAGAGACCCAGAAGGAGCAGCCGGACACGGCAAGGTGGTAGTGTGACGCGCGGTGACTGGTCCCGAAGTGGGATCAGCCAGCGCCACAGAAACAGGCGCAGGAAGAGGCGTAAGTGTCGTGCTGTCACGAAAGAAGCAGTGAGAGGCTCCAGAGTCCAGCGTGAACGACAGCGAACCGTCCTCTGAGGTAGCCGCTGGACTAGAGTCTACACAAGAACCTACACTAGCAACAGGCAACTGAGCAAGGCTAGCACCTAAGCTAACAACACCAGAGTAAGCAGAGTCAGAAACACTAGAGTCAACAACAGCATACATAGCATGGGGAGTACCAATCAGATCAACTAACTGCTCAGCAGACATGCCCCACAGAGCGGAGCCGTAGCGCTGAACAAGAGGCAGCCAGTCAGGGGCAGGAGCACCAACCCCGTAGACCAAACGAACCGTGTCAGTGAGCTGAGCAAAGCACTGACCAGGGGGGTGAAACCGGCCACAAGGGTGGCCACGACGAGGGCCTGTCAGAACCTGGTAGGTGCAGGGAGTGTAAGCAGCACCACGCTGGGTCTGACGCAGCCCCGACCCTGGAGCCAGCTGCTGCCGCTGCTGCTGCTGAGGCTGCTGGGAGGAGAGGGGCTGCTGCTGCTGCTGAAGCTGCTGCTGACGCTGAGCCTGGTACCACGCCGCTGCTCCACCAACCGGGGCCGGAAGTACAGGAGGCGACTGACGAACTCGGGCGTCGCCACCACTAGCAGGCGCAGTGGAGTCACCAGTCACTGCACGAGGCGCCTCTCCAGGCCCTGAACCTCCACCGCCGCCAGGCGCAACGCCACCTCCACTACCTCCGCCTCCACCTCCACTACCACCACCAGAACCGCCTTTCTTGCCACTCCTACCGCGGGACCGCGACGCAGTCGTAACAGCAGCTGCAGTCGCGTCAGTAGCGGCAGTGGCAAGTGAGGCAGTAAAGGTGGGTAACTGCGGGACTGTGCACCCGTGGAAGAGTGGGGGGGGCACAGCACCAGAGGCAGCGGCTACCGAGCGAAGGTTGCTCTCGACGTCCTTGAGTGTAGACTCAAGGACATCGACGGTGAGCTCACTAGGGTGCTTCAGCAGAAGCGCGTCGCGAACGGAGGCAAGGCGGTCAGGGAGGCTAGTGGCGATGAAATAGATAGTAATCGCCATAGGGGGAGGAAGCAGTGCAAGCTGTGCCTCAGTGCAAGCAGCGCGGTAACTAGCGTCGAGCGAGCGGAGGTGAGCGATCAAGTCAGCAGAGCGCTCAAACGAGGCGAGATCAGGAAACAGGAACGGGAGGAAAAGACGGCCAAGAGAGACAGTAGCGGGAGTAGAGTAGCGGGCCTTAATCGCAGTGAGGTACGCAGCAGCGGTGCGAACCTGAGTGAAGTGGACCTCCTCTGACTCAGGGAGGAGGCTGCTGAGTGCGATGCAGGCCGCAGCGTCACGCGACGTCCAAGCCGTCCTGTCAGCGCGCTGACGGGCAAAGCGAGCCGTAGCAGCATCGTCAGGGGCAGGACCTAAAGCGGCAGGCTCGGGGGGCTCGGGGAGGTCACCAGTAGCGTGCGACCAGAGGGTCTCGCCCCCCTGGACTTGACTCTCTAACAGACGGCGAGCGCGAAGAAGCCAGACGGAAAAGTCAAGAGGTCTACCGTCAGCGTCGAAACGAAGAACTCGCGGAGTCGCCATAGCGAGAACTAACGCGAACGAGCAGGCGAGTAACAGCAGGAGGTAAGAGGCAAATTAGGGTTCAGGTGGGGGGACTTAGTCGCAGCGGAAGAACGGGCTAGGGCGACGGGCCAGGGCGTAGGGTCGACGGGACGGGGGAAAGGGCGGGCGCGATGCGACGGGGCAGGGCGACGCGACGGGGCAGGGCGACGCGACGGGGCAGGGCGACGGGACGGGGAAGGGCGACGCGACGGGGCAGGGCGACGCGACGGGGCAGGGCGACGTGACGGGGGGAAAGGGCGCGACGCGACGGGGGGAAAGGGCGCGACGCGACGGGGGGAAAGAGCGCGACGCGACGGGGGGAAAAGGGCGCGACTCGACTGGGGGGAAAGGGCGCGACGCGACGGGGGGAAAGGGACGCGACGAGGGGGAAAGGGCGGGCAGGACGCGACGCTAGGAGTGGCGCTAGGCGCGGCACTACGCGCGGTAACAACGGAACCGGGACGAATGAGAGCTAGGATCAGGCTCGGGAGGCTCGAACGGAGAACGGAGGAACGGGATCCCACAGGATCCTAACCTAACTGATACCATGTCAGAATGAAGAATGGATGATGCATTGATGTTGGTTGGGGTACATATAGCTAACCCTAAGTTTTGTACCCCCTAAGACAAACCTCACTATAGGCTACAACATTTAACAATCAAATACAAAATATTTGTCATCATGACAAGATTCTGAAGCCTATAGACTTGAAAGGGCGGCAGATAAGCAGCTTGATCCAGACTCCCCAACTGCTCGTCTCACCGACAGACTGCATACTCTGTATCGCTAGTTCCCTCTATACCGCCCAACCAGCCTTCTCTTGCACACAACACCGTTACTGTGACGCGTCAAAATTCGAGATTTCAGGCACACTTCTGACAGCAGCACTTCACTGAAACAGCCACTCGATTTAATACCCTCCCGCCCGACCAAGGTTGACAAACCTGCTGGCATCCCCACCACCACCACCACCACCGCCACCACCACCACCTCTTCCTCCCCTCCCTCCACCATCTCCCCCTCTATACCCCCCCCTGCCCCCACGTCCTCCCCTTCCTCCCTCATCGTATTGAGCTTGGGTTGCACGGTCGACTCCGCGTGCCTGCAAACATTTCCGCGTGCAGCACATGAGCCAACTAACCCTCTGCACGGCGCACGCTGGATGCCCTAAGCCCTACAAACAACGTGCGCAAGCACTCACAGAAGCGCCAACGTCATGGTAGCGGGAGTAAAGTCCACTTTCTCGTCCATGAGCGAGTTATAATCGGGGTCCGTCACCACCAGCGGGACATTGCGGTAAGGCAAATAACGAAAGGGTTTGAAGGCCTGCACGGACGCCTTGTCAACGGGTTCACCCATCGTCGTGCGCGGAAACAACGATACGCTAAACCTCGTGAACGCGATGCTACTACTACTGCGCGCGTGACGAAGCAAAAATGGAAACCTCGTCAAATGTCCCTAACGCTCTACGGGGGATCTAGGGCCGTGAAAAGGCACGCCAGAGGGTGGAGGCAAGATGGTGGGAGCAGAAGGGGCGAAGAAAATTAGACAACCTAGCAACAAATGACAAAATGAGATTCTCGTCCTTGACATACCCCCCCAGCGCAAGCAACGTCCGAAAGCGAGGCAAGCCCGTACGGGAGCCAGGCAAGATCCGTCACGTCCACAGTTGGCATGCGTGACGAATCTTGTCCGTTCGTCGATGCATGCGAAGGGGTGGATTGGCTGTGCCGAAGTGTGGACTGGCTTGGCCAAAGGTTGGATAGGCTGGCCAATGGTCGGCCGCGAAGCCTATCCACGACTTCGCGCGGAGGTTGCTGAGCGCGCACGTGGCAACATGGGAAGGGAGCGGGATTGGACGAGGCCGAGCTGCTGGTGCATGGTTCACGCCAACCGACGAAGTGGCACGTGTCAGCAGGAGAGAGGACATGGACGTGTCACATCCTGCATGAGCCATTCCCTTTCACGCCTTTGTCACGCCTAGGTCACGCCTTGCGAAGGGCGACGGTTGCGAAATGTGCGAGGGTTGCGTTCCTTTGTATGGATCGCATGGGTTGTTTTTGCCAGGGCCTGTTGTTATCGCCTGTTGGTATGTTGGTATGTTGGTTTGCCAGGGCCGGAGCCATGTTGGTATCCGCGTCTCCCGGGGAACATGCACGATGGTTCCGGCGCTCAGGTGGGGCGGGGAAGTGGGTTCGCGTGCAGAGAGTCCCGACAAGCCCCAGCTGGCGGGGTTTGAGTTCCGCCGACCCGTCGATGGGGGAGCGACGAGAGTGTCGCTCCCACGGGCAAAACGGGAGCGACGCTCACCGATTCCCAGCATTCCGTTGAGACACACAGCCGCGTGTTGAACGCACAATCTCCTGAGAGCCTCTCCCTCCGCTTGGCAAGATGAAACCGTCATGAAGGAGATCCACCCCAACTCGTAAATTATAGCAGGCTCGTCATATCGTGTTCTCATCAGTAGTCGTTCACCTTCTTCAAGAGCTTCTCAGCCAGCCACTCCGTTCTGCTCCTGTTCACCGGCTATTCTCCTCTCACGCTTGCTATTCTTGCTAGTCGGGATAAACTCCTTTGCCACTAATGGCTCGGACAAAGCAAGGTGTTAAGGCTGTGCTGCCGGTGCTTCTATTTTTGCTGCTCGTGGCGTCAGCATCGTATGTTGCGGCTGGTAAGCTCGCTCCTACGAGTACACTCGTACTATCATGCGTTTTGAACGGTTTTAGAGGTGCCTCAACGAGCAATTTTTGCGTTCCGATTTTTTGTTGCAAGTACCATCATGCATTTCGAACGGTAATCTACTACCTGAGCCAATATCGGTAGTATTTGGATGAGGTATCTATACACATCGGGATATCTTGCTACATTTGGTTCTGCTAGTTCTTTAACTTTCTCTACTTGTCGACCTCTTCCGTCGTCTCTGTGGAGCAGCATCCAAGCGATTTGTCTCCTCGCGGCGCATTCTTGGCGGGGGAATCCCCGGAGGGACTGTGAACCACCTCGAGAAATCCGTCGAGTCGACCCCAACCGCCGTGAAACTGGCAGGCACCACCAAGTCAACCACCACGTCGGTGAAAATGGCGGCCACGACCCAGCCAACCACGACACCGAGCGTAAAAGTGATGGTCAGGACCACCACGGTGACTTCCGTGTGCGAACCTACCAAAGCCAAGGACTTGAAATCCGTGAGCTGGTCAACCCTGACTGGCAATACAGCCACAAAACCTCAATCTTAGGAAGCTTGGTTGGGAAACACAATTGGCCAAGATTTTGGAGTAGTATTTCAAAGAATTAGTATACAAGTTAGGAAGGTTGTACCAATTCGACCCTTCTTGGCCTCCAGTTTAAAAAATTGCTGCCTACCGGTATATCTTTGTAAGTGCGTTGTGCGTTGTAAACATACAAGATTGCGTGTGTTGGTACGCGTGAGTTGGCAGCTGTCCTCTGTACACGATGTTGTACTCAGAAAGAAATGCTAAGAAAATTTCTTACAATTATCAACCAGGGCAAAAAAACAGTAACACATCAATTTCAAAATGTTGAAATTGCGAATAGATCAGTGCCCATCTGCACGACAAAATTCTGAACCCTTCAGACTTGAAAGGACAGCACATAAGAAGTTTGATCCAGACTCCCCAACTGCTTATCTCACTGACATACTTCATTCTCTGTATCACGACTACATTCCTCTTTACTGCCCAACCAGCCTTCTCTTGCACACAACACCTTTACTGTAACGCGTCAAAAATCTGGATTTCAGGCACACTTCCGACAGCAGCACTTCACTGAAACAGCCACTCGATCTAATACCCTCCCGCCCGACCGAGGTTGACAAACCTGCTAGCGTCCCCACCACCACCACCGCTGCCACCACCCCTTCCTCCCCTCCCTCCACCATCTCCCCCTCTATACCCCCCTCTTCCCCCACGCCCTCCCCTTCCTCCCCTCCCTCCACCATCCCCCCCTCTATACCCCCCTCTCCCGCCCCCACCACCTCCTCCCCCACCGCCGCCCCATCCTCCTCTCCCTCCCCCCCGGCCGCCATACCCGCCTCGTCCTCCCCCTCTCCCGTACCTCTCCCCGCCCCCACCACCGTAATCATCCCTGCGCCCGCCTCCATAGTCCCCGCCTCCGTCCTTGCCCCGCCTGCCCCCGCCTCTCTCTCCCCCTGCGCCTTCGATGGTCATGCCGCCAGTCTTCTCTGAGAAGGCTCGCTCGTTGCCCTCCACAAGAACTGATATCTTATCGGCGTACTGTAATGAGTCAAAAGCAGGGGAAAGAAACGAAATGGTTGAAACGGAGGAGGAAAGGAGAGTGAGAAGCGGCAGAGGCTTTGGAAAGGCACCCTGGCTACCTCCCACCAGGATCGATAGCCAATCGGAGTACTGACGCAGAATCAGAAGCAAAGATAAGGCTGGTTGTCAGTCTCTAATTAACACCAGACAATGCAAAAAGAAAAATGAAACAGGAGCCACATGGCTATAAGCCACACACACACTGCAGATGAATTTTATGGCACCTCAGATGTCGAAAACTGAAGCCGCAGGGCTAGACGCTACGCATACACTGCACATGCAAGTTCCAGAACCCCACCTGCAGGGCGAGGTGCTGCAGGCGCGTGGGATTGACCGCGTTGACCACGATGCACTTGGAGGGCTGGTCCCAGCTGGCACTGATCTCCTCATTCATCATCATGCGGCTAGCAACCCCTGTCACTGCCTTCTCTGCCATGCCAAACATCTGTAGATTGAGGGAATAGCAAACACAAACACAGGGGGAAGGAGGGCGGTAAGGGAGTGCGAGGGCTGGTCCCAGCTGGCGCTGATTTCCTCATTCATCATCATGCGGCTGGCCACGCCCGTCACTGCCTTCTCTGCCATGCCAAATATCTGTAAGTGAAGATGCAGATGGGTAGATGCAGGGAATGAGTGAGTTGGCATGCAGATGGGCACAGATCTATTCGCTCTCATCATCACGCGGCTCGTCACGCCCGCCACTGCCTTCAACCCAAACATCTGCTCCCAAAGAAAAACACAAGGGGATTGCAACTCAAAGGCAGAGCATCCCCAGCACCTCCTCCCTCTTTCGTTCCCCTCCTTCAAACCCTTAATATCCGCTGTTAAATCTCTCCAAACCCTCTCAACCCACTCAACCGCTCAATCCGCACTGGACCCATCTTTCAACCCCCTCCTTCAAACCCCTTTAAATCCGCCACTCATTCTCACCCAACCCCACCAACTCCCTCACAACCCCACCCAACCACACTCGACCCTACCAAACACCCTCCCACCCATTCCCACCCAACCCAACCCAAATCCATCCTGCCCCAGGCAGCCCCAACCAATCCACACCTGCGTCAGCTGGTCAAGACTGATGGAAGCATAAGTGGACGACGCATTGAAGAGGAACGTCCGCAGTGCCTCCTGCTGGATCTTGCCCCTCAGCATCCCCAGCACGGATTCCCTCTGCGCCACCGGAAGCAGCTTCCACACGTCCAGCGCCTCTGCCAGCTGCACAGCTCGCTGCCAGTCGCCACACATGAGTGCTCTAGAAGCAGCCATGACATGATCCCTCACATTCTCTGCAGGGAGAGAGAAAGTGACGGAGCAGGATGGGCAGGAGGGGAAGACGGGGTTGGAGAAGAAGCCGCTTCCACACGTCCAGCGCCTCTGCCAGCCGCACGGCCCTCTGCCAGTCGCCGCACGTGAGAGCCCATGACGCTGCCATGACGTGATCCCTCACGGTCTCTGTAGGGAGGGATGGAAAAGAGGGGAAGAGAAGGGTTGCGGTAAGCAGGAAGCAGCTTCCACACGTCCAGCGCCTCTGCCAGCTGCACGGCCAGCTGCCAGTAGCCACACATGAGCGCCCGTGGTGCCGCCATCACATGATCCCTCACGTTCTCTATTTAGAACAAAAAGGTTGGGGCAGGAAGGGGAAAATGGGGAGGACAGGAACAAGAGGGTTGAGGCAGCAGCTTCCACACGCCCAGAGCCTCTGCCAGCTGAACGGCCCTCAGCCAGTCGCCACACAGCAGCATGGCGCACAGCAGATGCACCGCCTCCAGCAGCTCCAGATTCACGAGCATGTGGTACGGCATCTGCCCAGCACTACCAACCCCCTCTCCCCTCAGCACTCCCCCCACTGGAAAATCGCCCTAAAAGGACGCCAGTAAAGAGAATATCCAGGGGGGGAAGGAGGGAGGCGGGAAAGGGGAAAGGCTTACCCGGAGGGCCGGTGAACGTCTGGCGCTCGTACATATCGAGCAACCGGCGGAAATTCTTAGAGATAACGCGCCTACGCCCGTCAGTGGAGTGTGCGGCCAGCGACGGCACCTCCAGCAGCATGGCGCACAGCAGATGCACCGCCTCTAATAACTCCAGATTCACGTGCATGTGGTACGGCATCTGCCGGCGCCGCTCCACGCGCTCCTGCTCGGGAGTCTTCTCGTGGAAGCGCGACTGAGACACGCCCTGTGCGAGGAGCTCCTTCACGCGGCCGCCAGCGAAGAGGTCGGCGAGGCAGCTGTGGGCGTCCGGGATGAGCCCTCTACGGAAGGCGGCCAGACCCAGCTGGGCCATGGCGCGGTTGAAGAGAATCTGCGTGCTGATGTCCATCTGCTGCACCGCGTCCTGGTGAAGGGGGGAGGGGTAAGTGTGGGGGAGTGGGGTTGGGAAGGGGAGGGAAGCGCGTGGGTTAGGGGCAGCTGTGGGCGTCCGGGATGAGCCCCCTGCGGAAGGCTGCCAGGCCCAGCTGCGCCATGGCGCGGTTGAAGAGAATCTGCGTGCTGATGTCCATCTGCTGCACCGCGTCCTGTTGGGGGGGATGAGGGGCGGGGGAGAAAGGGTGCGCGCGGGAGGTTGATACGCCTCATCTACACACCCGTTAAAAGCCATTCTCATCCCTCGTATACTCGAAAGCCCGTCTCATCCTGGAACCCCTCTTAAAAAAACCCCCTTTAAAACCCTCAACCTCCCCTGCAGGCAGCAGTCAGACGCCCTTCCTAAAACCCTACCTGGAGGTGCGAGATGAGCATGAGATCGCGCGCAGTGTGGTACTCGTCGTTGATCGCGTGGTGGTAGATGTCGCACAGCATCGCGCGCGCCTTGCTGCGCTCCTCCCCGTGCGCGTACACCACCGCCAGCAGCGCCTTCATCATCACCCTCCCGCTCTCCGGGAACACCGGCCACCGTGGAACCGCCTCTGGCGTCGGGATGAATGCGGGCGGCCCGTACGAGTTCACCGCGATCGCGGCGCGGCGTTTGGCGTCTTTCGCGGCGGCGGACTCGGGCTCGTCGTCTGGGGAAGCGTCCTCGTCGCCTGCTGCTGCGGCGGCGGCGTCCGCGGGGGTTTCGGCGGCGGCGGCGGCGGCCGCGGCTGCCTGCTGCTGCTGCTCCGACATCAGGCGCAGAGCTGCATACACGTTCTGCGGGGACGCGAAGGGGTGCATGGCGAGAGATGGGGAGCGAGGGGGTGTGTGGGGAGGGATGGGGAGCGAGGGGGTGTGTGGGGAGGGATGGGGAGCGAGGGGGTGTGTGGGGAGCGATGGGGAGCGAGGGGGTGTGTGGGGAGGGATGGGGAGCGAGGGGGTGTGTGGGGAGGGATGGGGAGCGAGGGGGTGTGTGGGGAGGGATGGGGAGCGAGGGGGTGTGTGGGGAGGGATGGGGAGCGAGGGGGTGTGTGGGGAGGGATGGGGAGCGAGGGGGTGCATAGAGAGCGATGGGGAGGGAGGGGGTGCATGGCGAGCGATGTGGAGCGATGGCATGCGTATGTAGACAGGAGGGGAGGAAAGAGGGGGTTGAGATGAAAGAGGAGGGAGAGGAAGAGCGGGGGAGGAGGGGGGAAACGAGAGTGCTCGAAAAAAAGGGGGGAGAAAGTGCAGAGACGTGACGATGAGGGAGGGGAAGGGGGGAGCGGGAGGGGAATCCGCGAGAACAAAAACAGAAGGAAGAACAATGCTACATAAAGGACAACGAAACCCTAATCTAAGAACACGAATTAAGACGCAAAATATTAAAGCACGACGATGGGGAGGGGGGAGGGCGCCGACAGGGGGGGTTGGTGGGTGAGGAAGAGGAACGACGGAGAGAGGAAGAGAGAGATGAGGAGGAATGGGTTACCAGAGACATGTGGTAAACATAATCGCCCAGGGACGCGCTTTGTGACGCCATATAAAAGCGGCAGAAAGCTAACCCAAGAGAAGGCTAAACCCGTTGGAAACTACCCGTTAGAAGGCTAACCTGAGGCTTGTAGTAAATGTGCTCGCACAGACGACGAGCCGCGCGCGACGCGCCCTTGGTGTCGCCCACGCGCAGCGCGTACGCCTGCGCGTTCTGCGCCAGCGCGAGCAGCGTGGGCTCGTCCTTAAGCCGCTCTAAGTACGTCTTAGTATAGGGGTCCGTGCACTGCAGGCTCTTAAACAGCTCGTCGTCCATACGCTCTACAAACGACACCACCGATCCCCACACCCGAATCTTCCCTTCGTAGTCCGCGCCTTTCTGCGACTCGTTATCGTCCTCCACGACCTCGTAATTCTCGTCCAAAACAATGTTGTTGTTCCCCTCGAGAATGTCAAGAATCGTCATTATGTTCTCCGCGCATTTCTTCCAAACGGGGACGGGCAGATGCAGGTGAAGGTTCTGCGAAACATCGAATTGCGCAGAAACCACCTGCATCATCACTTCCAGTTTCTGCGCAGGGGTTTTTGCGACTTTAGCCAGGTAAGTCAGCTGCTCAACCTGCTCCACCCTATCCGTTCCCTTGCGACCCCTAGCAGCAATAATCTCCTTCAGCTTCTGATTCACCTCCTCCCACTTGATCTCGCTGTGATCCCTCTGAAACTGCTTCTCCAGCGCCCGATCCTTCTTGCTCTTCTGCGTCTCCCACCCCTCCCCTCCCTCCTCCTCCTCCTCCTCATCCCCTCCCTTCCTATCCAACGGGTCTTCCACCCCCTCCTCGTCCTCCTCCTCGTCCTCATCCTCCTCTTCCTCCTCGTCGTCCTCCTCCTCCTCTTCGTCAGACTCCGGACTCGCCCGGAACTTCTCAATAACAGCCTCGTACAGCTTGTTATTCTTCTTCAGCTTCTGCTTCATGTAGTTCAGAGCCTTCGCGTTGCTGCTGCTCATCTTCTTTTTCGCCTCTTTGTTCGTCAAGGCGGCGTTCAGATGATCTTCCAGCAGAACCACGCCCTTGATGTACGGCCGCGGGGGCACGGACGACTCGATCAGGCGCAGCACCTTCTCAAGCTGCTTGTTCAGCTTCTCGAAACTCTCCTGCAAATAGTGCAAAAAGAGAGTAGGGAAAGACAGGCAAGGCAAAGGGAAAAGGGAATGAGTTCAGGTGGCCCTTGATCAGGCGAAAGCCATTCTCAAGGTGCCTCTTCATATTCTTATCCCTCTGCAAATAGCAGCGCACGATCGGCAGAGGCTCGATTGCAATGACACACTACCGTGAAACGGTAACCCTAGATCCCAGAGTGACTTAGATCAGGCACGGTAATTAAATATGAATGTTGGAAAATCCGTACCTGCAGAGCCACCCAGTCGTTAATCTTCATCTGGTTCTTAATCTGCTCCACCGTCGACACCATCTCGTCGTACCGCTTCTCGCGGGCAGGCCGAACGACGCGCGCGCGACCGTCGTCGCTGTCCTCGCTGTCGCTGTCGCCCTGTCGCAGGTAGATCGACGCGCGCCCGGCATCGCCACCTGCCTTGGGAGCATCGTCTTCTTCCTCCTCCGACTCTTCCTCTTCGACTTCTTCCTCCTCCTCCTCGGACTCGCTGTCAGACTGCAAAAAGAGTTGGTGGAAATAAAAACATTTAAGTTAAGGTTTCAGAAACAGGATTCTCCTCCCACCTCCTCCGACACTCCTCTTCAACTTCTACCTCCTCCTCGGACTCGATGTCAGACTGCAAGGGGATATGGTGGGAAAATAGCTCAGCATATCAATGACCAACTTAACCTATTCTTTCTCCCCCTACTCCCCCGAATCATCCTCCGCTCATCTTCGGACCTGCTCTGACTTCTCCTATCCCAGAACTACTCGTGTACGACTTTCCCCCCTCCTCCAAACGTCTCACAGCTCAACTAAACAGTCTCATCCTTCTCCTCCTCCGATTAATTAATCGAACGCGTGCGGGGAAGCTCAGTGGAAAATTGCGAAACATGAATCGAAAAATTAGGGTTCATGTTACGCTAAGCGTAGTAGAGTTCATCGGACTCGCTGTCGAGCCGATTTATTCTAGAAGGACCCACACATCCGCTCCGGGATAGTTGACAATAACATCAAATTTTGATCCTTAATTTTCCAGGTCTAGACGACTACGCAAAAATCACCGTCGATCTCCATGTAGATTGCAGGCTCGAACCGGCATACCACCGGATTCGCGATCGATCTACACGTGGAACTACGAGTTCATCGAACGGTTAAGACGCATGTCGTGGTTGATCGGACGATGCGCAACTAATCGTCTGCAACAACCTCATTCTCCCAAGCTGGGCCAGTCTTAGTCTCACTAACAAGTCAAAAGAAGTTGATCATCCACGCGTCTACTATCCAGCTAAAATCGCACCTACATCCACACCGAACAGCGCGTCTGTATCTGAAAAGGGAGAAAGCAATCAGGGATTCTCATCCACAGCCAGTACGCACGCGTCTACTATCTACCTAGAATCCCACCTGCATCCAGAAACGGGACGCCATGGCTGCAGATGTTAGAAGCTCGAGTCGCGAAGACCGAGGTTCTGAATGTCGAATCGTGTGCTGCAGGCGGCCTGAGGACTGATTAGCTCCTAGGGTGCCTGATCTGCTCCCAGGCAAGAGAGCAATAGAATCAGCAAGTGCTGAACTTCACTAGGGAGGTAAGGCGGAGAAGTGGCGGAAAGAATGGGGGAAAACGGCTCAGATGGGGGGGATCGGGGAATAGTAGTGGGAGACAATCGCGGAAGGCTTGCGCGAATCAGGTGCTAAGTGGTTGGATTGATAATTAACCACTTTTAGCTAAGAGGAAGTGGAGAAGTGGGTGCAAAATGAAGCTGGATAAGCGAACCTCGATCTTCTCGCAAGTGTTGGTATGCCACCGTATGCACTCAACTTTGATAACAAGCTACACCTGGGAACAATTAGATCAATAAAGTCTACAAACGACCATTTTAGTTGCAATGACTACCCAGTCGTGTTCACCGTCAAAATTGTTTGTACGTGGTAGTTTTTGCAACAACCCCTCTATCTTCTCCCAAAAACAACTAATTCTCAGGCTTATGTATACATAGGTTGGCAAGTTCATCATGTATCACTTCTTGTTGTTCCCAAGAGAGCAGAATTTACTCAAATTCGATCATGGTCTCGCCCAGCGACACAGAGGCCCCGACCTTCACATATACAGCCTTTACAGTGGCCGCCTCCTCGGCACGCAGCACGTTGCGCATCTTCATGGCTTCAATCGTTATCAGCTCATCTCCAGGAAGCACCTATTGGACGAGGAAATGTACAAGTTGAAGAACAAAACTAAAACATGCAGGTATGGCCAAGGTGAACAAGGTTGCCAAGATGTGTTTGGTGATTGAAGCATGCAGGGAGTAGCCAGCGGCATAGCGTTGCATATGCATGGTCTTGAGGACAGACAAATATCCCTCACCTTCTTGTTTGGCTTGACACCAATTGCAACCACCGCACCAGGCATAGGAGCCTTGACCATCTGCACAGGAAATGGAGGGAAAGGGGGATACACATGCAAGTATTAGCATGAATGCATTCAAAAGAGAAATTCCCAAAGGACTCGCCGGAATTGTGTCCCAAACACGCCAACAAGGACATGGAGAAAATAGAGGATAAGGTATTATTTAAAAGCATGCAAGATTATATATTGCACCTTGGAAACAACTTGGACCTTCTTGGCCGGCATGTACTTCTGTAGAGGACATTGTACCCTAGAGACATGCACGATCAAATCTCACCTTTGATACATCTTGGACCGGCATGTACTTCTGCAGAGAACATTGTACCCTATAGACATGCACGGTCAATATGTCACCTTTGATACATCTTGGACCTTCTTGGGCGGCATGTACTTCTGCAGAGGACATTGTACCCTAGAGACATGCACGATCAAACATCTCACCTTTGATACATCTTGGACCTTCTTGGGCGGCATGTACTTCTGCAGAGGAGCCACCTTCTTCTGATGAACCAACACCTCGTCCTGTTGCAGGCGGGATAGGAGGGACCGAGAGAGAAGGGGGGATAGGAGGGACGAGGGAATGGGAGAGTGGAGGGAGTGGGAGATGGGAGGGGAATGAAAGAGAGGATGAAGGGGTGATAGGGAATGGGAGACAGAGGGGGAGTGGGAGAGGAGAGGAGAGGGAGTCAGAAAAAATCGTGCATCGGGTGCGAGAGGAGGAGGGAGGATGGAGGAGGAGAAGTGGGAGGTGCAAGGGAAGGAGTCCATTAGGTGCGAGGCACGGCCAATTGCAGCTTCCTGCAGTTTTCCCACCTTTGGTGGAGAAAGCCACCCGGTTTCACTCCTCGTTTGGAGCCAATGTGACGAAGGCAATGAGCGAGTCAACGTCCCCGTTGATGTGCAAGAAAGTATATTTCAGTCGAGCAGTTGTGGTAGCGCAGGAAGATAGGCACGGAAAATTGGATAAGGTTTCCGAAATAAACACCAAGGGTAATTGCATACGTTCACTCAAGCCCTAAACATTAGTTTAAGACAATGAAAACAATGAAATCATCTACCATTTTGGGCTGCTATACTTCGAGGCGAAGGTGAAGAGCCGTGTGGAAGAAGCCGTTGCAAGTGTTGCACAAATGGAGTCATATACAGAAAGACCGATGAGAGCCTTTTGGTGGATGGCTCCATTTGTGCAACACTTGCGACGGCTTGTTCCACACAGCTCTTCACCTTCGCCTCAAAATTTAGCAGCAAAAATTTGATAGAGTTTTCCATTTTTTTCATTGATCAACCAATGTGTCACTCACAGTAGCATACCTTGGTGTAGCGGCCATAGACAGGCTTGAAGTGTGAACCCTCTGAAAGTGCCACTCCAAGAGTATAGATGTATTCCACAGTAAATAAATGGATAACTTGAATCACTAGTTGAAAAAAAACAAAAATAAACCAACAAGCAAACAAGCTGAAAGCACCACCTTAGTTGGCCATACCTTGGTGCAGCCGTCGTAGACAAGCTTGAACCCTCTCGCATGCTTCTCCATGACCATGCACACGGTGTCCTCCCCATCCACGCGAATATCCACCACCCCTCGCCCCAGCCCCACCGGCACTGCCTCCTCCACCCGTATCACCTCCCCCCCCACCTCTATGTCCTGTCGGGGAGCAGGGGAAAATTGTGGGCATAGGGGATTGTGGATATGAACAAGAGGAGGGTATATGGGGGTGTGAGGATGGTTGAGGTGATGTGGTGGTGTGAGGAGGGAAGAGGTAATATCGGGGAATGTGGAGGGAAGGAGGGAACGATGAGAGATGAGATTAGAGAACCTCAGAGAACGGCAGGAAAAGGTAACAGTGCGAACAAACGATAAGAACTGTGGCTGTCACTCACGGCGACACAGAGGTGTGACTTCTTCTCATTGCTCCAATGCCGCACCACCACAGGATATTCCACCCCATCCGAACTCACCACCAACTCCGCTTTCCCCCTCAGCCCCTCCCCCCCATCCTCCTCCCTCTCCTCCCCTTCCCCCTCTCCCTCCTCCTCCGCCCAACCGGCGTGCGCCAGGTGTCCGTTTCCTATTGCGCCGGGCGTGCTGGGGGCAGCAGCGTTGACAGCTAGCAGAGACCTCCGGGATTTGACAATGTCAAGAAAGGCAGCAATGGCTGCAACTTCTTTCTGTCAGGTGAGGAGGCGATGAGGGCAGGAAGAGAAGGTGGGAAGAAGGGAGATGAAGCCATGCGATGCGGATATAGGGATGCGCGGTGTTCACCTCGAGCAAACACAGACACAACATCCCTATTATCCGCATCCATATAGTTATCGGTTGATTGCCTCCACTCACTCCCAGCTCTCCTTACTCTCACCTCTCCTCGCGCTCACCTCCTCTCTGGGTATCAGCCTGTCATCTGTGAAGCCATTTGGATAGTGGATGTCCAGAAACTTGGTGCTCACCTCTATCCACCCTTAGCTCTTTTTTCTCCCACCTCTTTCCACCCTCACCTCCTCTCTGGGTGTCAGTCTGTCATCTGTGAAGCCATTCGGGTAGTGGATGTCCAGGAACTTGGTGCTAATATCGCCCGACTCAAACGCATTGGGCAGCAGGAGAGAGCCCAGAGGCCCACACACTCCCACTCACCTGTTCCCTCTTCAACTCTCACCTCCTCTCTGGGCGTCAGCCTGTCATCTGTGAAGCCATTTGGGTAGTGAATGTCCAGGAACTTGGTGCTGATGTCACCAGACTCAAACGCCTGTCATAGCATGTGAGAGCATGGACGGGCAATTCAAGGAGGGAAGAGCGTCAGTCTGTCATCTGTGAAGCCATTCGGGTAGTGGATGCCCAGGAACTTGGTGCTAATATCGCCAGACTCAAACGCCTGTCATAGACAGAAAGAGCGCGGAGGAGCAATGCATAAAAGGGCAGAGCGGATCTCAGTTTCGAGGCACGAGGAACCTCAACACAGAGACGTATGGAAATCACTTTTGAGAATATATCAATATATTCGAGGCACGAGGAACGAGGCACGAGGAACGAGGCACGAGGAACGAGGCACAAGGAACCTCAATCGTAAAGTGATTTCAATGTATTCGAGGCACGAGGAACCTCAACACAGCGACGTGCATGAGCAGAAAACCTTAAATGGAAGCTCTTAGGGCTTTGCCTGGCAGCTCTGGCAGAGAGATTTGCCTGACCACCTAAGTGTGGGAAAACACGAACATGCACACACCCTATTACAAGAACACTCTGCCCGGGAAAAGTTTTGCCCTGCCCGGACTAGCGTCAAGCGGCCGTCCAGGGCAGAGGAACCCGGGCGTCAAGCGTCTGGACGCCCCGTCCAGACGCCAGCGTCAAAAACGCCTGACGCGTCAGGCGCAACATAGATTGCACTCATGCAGCTGGTATGTATGATTGCACCATGATTGCACTCATGCAGCTGGTATGTATGATGCACCATGATTGCACTCATGCAGCTGGTATGTATGATTGCACCATGATTGCACTCATGCAGCTGGTATGTATGATGCACCATGATTGCACTCATGCAGCTGGTATGTATGATGCACCATGATTGCACTCATGCAGCTGGTATGTATGATGCACCATGATTGCACTCATGCAGCTGGTATGTATGATGCACCATGATTGCACTCATGCAGCTGGTATGTATGATGCACCATGATTGCACTCATGCAGCTGGTATGTATGATTGCACCATAATTGCACTCATGCAGCTGGTATGATTGCACCATGATTGCACTCGTGCAGCTGGTATGTATGATTGCACCATGATTGCACTCGTGCGTTATCTACTTCCTTCCATAGGTGTGATGTGAAAGGCAGGCTTCTTTGACAGAGGCGCTTCACATCACACCACACCTTGACCGCACACACTCATCATCCCTCAAATCAAATCCCTTTGCGTGTGCACACCCGTTCCTTGCCCAAACCCCCCTAATCAGGGCGAGTCTCAAATGGTGTCCAATCAGGTCCGAGCGGCACTGGACTCGTTCAGCCGCGCGGTCACTCTGATACCAAACGATGCGGAAGCGTGGCGCCTGCAGGGGTGGGCGCTCAAGGAGGCTGGCAACAGGCGCGAGGCCGAGGCGAGCTTCAGTAGGAGCATTGAGTTGAATGAGAGGTGCGGCTGCTGAGGGTGCTAGGTGCTGATGCTATGTGTGTGTGATGCGCGCGCGGCGTGTGTGTGCATGCAGGCGTGTGAAAGCACAAAGCGGCAGATGGAAGGGGTTTTTGTTCGTCCTCTTTCTCCTGTCCTAGTCAATCGCATCTCAGTTCTCATCGGTCCTTGCGCCGTTTTGCTAGAATCCCGTATCACTCTGTAATGAAACCCTTCCCTCTATCCCTCCATCTCATTCCCCTCGCCTCCCTGCTGATGTTTCCTTGCAGCTTCCTGCCTGCGCTAATCAACTGGGTAGAGTTGAGGCACGTGGCAGGCGACCACAGGTGCGCCCAGGAAGGAAGGGGGAGGATGAGGGCAGCAGAGTGGCAGAGTGCGGGCAGCAGAGTGGCAGAGTGCGGGCAGCAGAGTGGCAGAGTGCGGGCAGCAGAGTGGCAGGGTGCGGGCAGCAGAGTGGCAGAGTGCGGGCAGCAGAGTGGCAGAGTGCGGGCAGCAGAGTGGCAGAGTGCGGGCAGCAGAGTGGCAGAGTGCGGGCAGCAGAGTGGCAGAGTGCGGGCAGCAGAGTGGCAGAGTGCGGGCAGCAGAGTGGCAGAGTGCGGGCAGCAGAGTGGCAGAGTGCGGGCAGCAGAGTGGCAGAGTGCGGGCAGCAGAGTGGCAGAGTGCGGGCAGCAGAGTGGCAGAGTGCGGGCAGCAGAGTGGCAGAGTGCGGGCAGCAGAGTGGCAGAGTGCGGGCAGCAGAGTGGCAGAGTGCGGGCAGCAGAGTGGCAGAGTGCGGGCAGCAGAGTGGCAGGGTGCGGGCAGCAGAGTGGCAGGGTGCACGCTGTTTACCGGTTGTGAGAAGATGCAGCGGAGGAAGGAGATGTTGTTGAACGGTCCGCAGACATAATAACGATCCAAGGCGTGCTGGGAGACAGGAGGGAGGAGAGAGAGGAGGCACGAAAAGAAATCAGATGTATGTCTAGTATTAGACCATTCTACGCCTGTTTGTTAGAAGTTTCGTCTCTCCAAAGGGCGTATTTTTGCTAAAATGTTCGTATATGCGACCTTACAGTCACCGCTTTTTTTTGCCTTGCAAGTATGCGAGCTTTGAGATAGTCTCGGAATGGGTTTAAAATTCGGAACTGTACCTTCATGGACTCGAGTGCGTCCTTCCTTGTTGGTCCCCATGTGATTAGCTGGTACGGAGGGATGGGCAGGGGAGTGGTGGATGGGCATATTCTCACAAGTGTGAGAAAGAACTATGTCACACACATGAGGGACAGAGGTTTGAAAGCAGGGACTGGAGAGAGAGAGAAAAAATTGCGAAGCACATTGAAAGTGAAAACATGTTGACAGCAAGGGAAGGAAAAGAATATGTGCAAGTGTGCATAAGATTGAGATGCGGACACATGGCAGATTCCTTCATGTACTACAACGCCCTCCTCCAAGGTGTGTCGCTGCGTGCAGCTCGTGGTTGAGGACACTGCGAGCATGGCACATAACAACGACACACTTCAGAGAGCAGCGGGTCATCATATAACATAGAGATGTACTGCCCTTTCACTACGCCTGTGCCCAGCCGCACACCATTAGGCTCAACTTACCAGCATCGACACAGCAAGGCATGATGCATTAGAGCACACTTTGGAGAGCAACGGGTCATAGTACATGGAGATGCACTGCCCCTCCACCTCCCCTGTGTCCAGCCACACACTGTTCGTGCCAAATAGCCACACTGCACAAAGCAACATACCTTAGAGAGCAGTGGGTCATAGTACATGGAGATGTATTGCCCCTCCACCGCGCCTGTATCCAGCCGCACGATCTCAGTCGGCGTCCGCACCTCCTTGGGCTCGCGGTACCGGCGCAGCTTGCCCGTGGAGCTGGTGGGGGGAGGGGAGCGGAGAAGATGTGGGGCACAGTGAGGCACGGTTATGCGAGGTGAGGCGAGGTACAGCGCACCTCCTTGGGCTCACGGTACCTGCGCAGCTTGCCCGTGGAGCTGGTGGGGGGGAGGCGAGTCAAGGAGATGAGAGAATGGGAAGGCGAGGGGAGGTGCGGTGAAGTGAGGTGTGGTGAGGCGCAGCGAGGTGGAGAGGAGAGGAGAGTTCTGCACCTCCTTGGGCTCGCGGTACCTGCGCAGCTTGCCTGTGGAGCTGGTTGGGGGAGGTGGGGGCAAAGAGGAGAGAGGCAAGGGGAAAAGAGTATTGTTGACGCGACTCAAAAAAAGCTGTGTCTCCTTGCGCACATGATACCTGTATAAGTTGCTCGTGGACCTGATGGGGTAAGATGAGGTGAGGGATATGAGAGGGGAGGAGTGGTGGGAATCTGTGAGGTGAGGCATGGTAAGGTGCAGAAGGAGTGGTGGGAATTTGTGAGGTGACGCACCACGAGTCGAGAAAGATTACTCGCTTTTGAGTCGACTCAAAAGTCACCTCGTTGCAGATGAGAGGTACGCACCACGAGCCGAGATTGATTACTCACGGGAGGAAGTACATGAAGGGGTGTACGCAGTAAGCCCGGGACTCCAGCGCCCACACATTGATCCTCCTGGCCCTCTCCTGGTAGATGGGCAGCGTATGGCCGGCAGCGACGTGGAACATGAGGTGCACGAGGTCGAGCCCCGTGACACATTCCGTCAAGTAACTTGTTTGTGGCATGTGACTCACGGGAGGAAGTTCATGAAGGGGTGCTCGCAGTAAACCCGGGACTCCAGTGCCCACCCGTGGATCCTCCTGGCCCTCTCCTGGTCAATGGGCAGCGGATGGCCGGCTGCCACGTGGAACATGAGGTGCACGAGGTCGAGCCCCGTGACGCACTCGGTGACCGGATGCTCCACCTGCAAGCGCGTGTTCATCTCCAGAAAGAAGAAGTTGCGCTGCGCGTCCACTAGGAATTCCACCGTTCCTGAAAAGAGCAGACGGAGAAAGGGGGGGGGGGAGGAGGGCAGGGAGCACAGTGTGTAATTATCTGGGACAGCAGAGAGATCCTCTCCTCTTCTGCTGAAGTGCGGTCAAGTGGTCGTGTGAAGGATGGCCGGCTGCCACGTGGAACATGAGGTGCACGAGGTCGAGACCCCTGATGCACTCGGTGACGGTGCTCCACCTGCAGACGCGTGTTCATCTCCAGGAAGAAGAAATTCCTCTGTGCGTCGACGAGAAATTCCACGGTTCCTGAATGGAGCAGAGGGGAAGGAGGTGGGGAAGAGAGGTCCATCTGTGTCTGCGTGGGTGACCGGGTGCTCCACCTGCAGCGCGTGTTCATCTCCAGAAAGAAGTTGCGCTGCGCGTCCACTAGGAACTCGACAGTGCCTGGTGAGCGGAGGTGAGAGGGAAGCAGCAGTGGGGAAGAGCAGAAAGAGAAGAGAATGTGTGCTTGCGTGTGCATCCCACACCCACGTGCAGGCAGCAGGCACGTGTTTGATGTCTTTCAACACTAACCTCCTTAGCAATCATCAGCACCGACCCCGTAGCCACCAACACCGCTAGTAACTAAACAAACTCAGCTTTCTTTCCACATCACCCTTTTTTTGTCCAACCCCTTTCTCTTTCCCCCAACTCCCACTGCCCTTCCCCCTCCTCCCCCTCCTTGTCAACTGCGCACATACCAGCAGAGTCGTAGTTGACTGCCTTAGCAAGGGACACAGCCTGCTCGCCCATGGCCTCCCTCGTTGCCTCATCCAGGAACATGCTGGGTGATTCCTCTATCACCTGCCAATTGAGGGTTGCGAGAGAGGATTGGAAAGAGGGGTTGCGCTAATGAGCAGCGAGTGATAACCATAACCTCCCGCCCATGGCCTCCCTTGTTGCCTCGTCCAAAAACGTACTGGGCGATTCCTCTATCACCTGCCGGTTGAGAATTGAGAGGATTTAAGGGAGGGGTTGTGCAAGTGAGCAGCGAGATTATCCCCATAACCTCCCGCCCATAGCCTCCCTTGTTGCCCCTCTATCACCTGCCAACCACGGGTTGAGAGGGGATTTTGCAAGTGAACAGCAAAATTATACCCATGACTTTCCTCCCATGGCCTCCCTTGTTGCCTCGTCCAGTCCAGGAACGTGCTGGGAGACTCCTCTTTCACCTGGTGATTGCGGGTTGAGAGGAATGGACGGAGAGGTTGTGCAAGAAGGGGAACCGCGAGCTGCCTCGCATATGCAGGTTGGACGCTGTGTGAGATGATGAAGTATGTGACGCTGGGAGAGATGATGATGGATGTGACGCTGGGAGAGATGATGATGGATGTGACGCTGGGAGAGATGATGATGGATGTGACGCTGGGAGAGATGATGATGGATGTGACGCTGGGAGAGATGATGATGGATGTGACGCTGGGAGAGATGATGATGGATGTGACGCTGGGAGAGATGATGATGGATGTGACGCTGGGAGAGATGATGATGGATGTGAGGAAAGGAGTTGGGGGGAAGCAGCGTGACAAGAATGTGTGATGCTAAGCATTTGATCCAAAGTTTGGCAGTGTCACCTTTTGGTTTCGCCTCTGGATGGAGCATTCTCTCTCTGGTAACCACACCTGGGACAACCAACAAAGTACACCACCACACCACACCACACCACACCCCACCCCACCCCACCCCACCCCACCCCACCCCACCCCACCCCACCCCACCACAACACAACACAACACAAGCAGAGGGGCGAGGAGTGAATCGCTCATAGAGACAGCAGCCGGGTAAGAAGAATCAAGGCCCATACACGTTAGAGCCTTGCCACTTCACGTGCGAACACGAGGGCCAGTCATAGTGAGTGGAGCAGTGTGGGAGAAGTAGTGACAAACTGCTGTGCTTAAGCTAGCATGTTAATGACCCCGTGGGGCAGGAGGGGGTGACTTTTGAGCCGACTCAAAAGTCAGCAGAGTGGGAGGAGTAGTTACAAACTGCTGTGCTTAATCTAGCATGCCAGTGAACCCGTGGGGCAGGAGGAAGAGAGGAGGAGAGTCGGGATTGGTACACACCACATTGCCGTGCTTATCCCCCATGACCTGCACTTCGATGTGCCTTGGCTTGTCTATGAACCTGCCCAAGCCGGAAACAGCAGGAAAGGAACCAAAAAAGAGAGGTAGGTGCTATGTGGTTTAACCGGCTGTGAGGATCAAATGACTCGAAAATTCACATTCGTGAGGATCTTGTGAGGATCTTGTGAGAATCTTGTGAGGATCTTGTGAGGATCTTGTGAGGATCTTGTGAGGATCTTGTGAGGATCTTGTGAGGATCTTGGATTATCGTGCTTCACTAGAGACAAGATCCTCACGAGGTCTGGTTGACAAAAACTATTCAGCACAAGAGTATCGTACAAGTCACAAAAATGGTTCGCGCTTTTCCACTCCCCATCTTCATGGTTCGTTGCAAACAGACCTTTCCACAAAGACTCGGTCGTTTACAAAGCTGGGTGAGACCCCCGCCTAGCAAACAGGCCTCTTCACATCACACAGATGTGCCGTATGTCTTTCAGGCGCCTCAAAGCTGCACCCTGCACCTTGAAGTTACAAAGCTGAGGACGAACCTTTCGACAAAGATGCGGTCGTCAGCGAAGCTGGATGCGACCTCCGCCTTGCACACACTGAATTGCTCCCGTACCTCCTTCTCGTTCCTGCACGCACGGGACGAGAACGGGAGCGGAAGCAAAACAGGTGCGTGTAGGTGGGAAGTGGGGGGAAGGGTGGGGGCGGGGAGGTGGGGGGGGTATCTCCGCCTTGCACACGCTCAACTGCTCCCGCACCTCCCTCTCGTTCCTGCACGCACAGGAAGAGAGACGGTGACTGGGATTGGAGGATATGACAGGGAAATGGTGCAAGTGAGGGCAGGGGCGGGGAGAAGGGGATGGAGCACAGGGAAAATCTCTAAGAAAGCGTGTAGCACCCACTAAATCGCCTGAATTTTACTACGCCCACTCGCACCCCTCACATCACCATGCCACCACAAACCCTCCCCATGCAACACACACCCCTCACACTCCTCCTCAACATGCAACGTGCACCCCACTCAGTCCTCACCATGCGACGCGCATGCCCTTGCCTCCTCCGCCGCCTGACGCCTTGAGCATGACTGGGAAGCCCACCTCTTGTGCTGAACAAGAGGATGGAATGTGGGGAACGGAAGATGGCAGCAGGGCCCCCCCGAGCCGGTGGGCGAGGGATTCAGGGGGAGGGCAACGTGAAAAAGATTGGCGTTTGAGGAGCTACAGCACTGAGCACGATGAATGGAAATGTAGCCCATGCATGTAGCTACGACAAAACGTAGTGGCAATAGAAAATTGCCAGTTAGAATAGCTAGGAAGGATATCATGGTTTTCATTTCACCAACCTAACTAGCATGCGCCTCCTTCACCGATCTCGACCGCATGGTCCTCGTCCCTGATAACATCCTCCTTCCCGGGAATGGTGTTCACCTTGGCCTCTTTTGCCAATCTCACCACCATGGTCTTCCTTCACTGGGGCGGGCATGATATATTGTAACACTCACCGATCTCGACCGCATGGTCCTCGTCCCTGATAACGTCCTCCTTCCCGGGAATGGTGTTCACCTTGGCCTCTTTTGCCAACCGCTTGCTGTGAATCTGGATGGGAAAGCAGATGGGAGTAGGACGGGATAATGATGGAGAGAGGCAGTTAAGGGAAAGCATGGGGAGGGAGGAGGAACGAACGAAACACGGCGTTTAGAAGAGGACGTACAAAGAGTAGGACGGAAGGTTGGGGAGGAGGGGGAAAACTCATGTTTGGATTTCTGGAAGCTTCCCAAGATGAAGACGGTTTCAATATTTCTCACAACAGCCATAGCTCCTTCAGTAGAATCTATTCCGCCATTGCGTGAGAAAGAATATAGCAGTCCACCCCCCACGGCCCCAAATGCAACCAATCAACAAACAAACTTCTCAAGCAGATGCTCCTTGTGGACTCAGATCAGGCCGTTTCGCAGGAATGTTATGCTGCCATAGCAGGCGGGCGTGTCAAGACCATCCCACCACAAAGTCATAGCACTGTCAAAAGCACCCCGTCTTATCCCCCATGCTGTCCACCACACCCCATCTCACCCCACCCCACCCCACCAACCTTAATCCCATGCCATCACCCACACCTCACTCACCTTGTCCCCCATGGCGTCAATGGCGTTGAGATTGGGCCCCACGAAAGTCACGCCCTCCTCATCCAGCCGCTCCACAAACATGGCGTTCTCCGACAGGAAGCCATAGCCCGGGTGCACCTGGGAAGGGAGAGTGGCACATATTACTATTTTGTCAGTGAAATGCAAGGGTTACTCATCCAGCTGCTCCACAAACATGGCATTCTTCGATAAGAAGCCATAACCAGGATGCACCCGGGGAAGGTGGGACGGAATCAAGCGCCAGAAGCGAGGATGTGTGAGAGGGGCAATTGAGTGAGTGAGAGGGGCGACCAGCAATGGGCCCTCCTCCCAAATGCTCCACGAACACACTCAACCAAATCAGAACGATTACATGCATAGCATGCATACAACACTCACCGCGTCAGCCCCCGTGCTCCTAACTGCTTCCAGCACGGCATCCGTGTTCAGATAGCTCTGCGCTGCCAGTCCTTCCAAACCAACGTGCAGTCAGTTTAAAACAGGTAGACGCACACACTTGGGACACTCACCGCGTCAGCCCCCGTGCTCCTAACTGCTTCCAGCACGGCATCCGTGTTCAGATAGCTCTGCGCTGTGGGTGCTGGGCCCTGGCATAGAGAGAGGGGAGACGCGGGGGAATAAAAGAGGTGCGGGTGGGGGAGGAGAGATAGAGAGACAGATTGAAGGAGAAAACAAGAACAGAGAGAATAGCAGAGTGGGGTCAGAGGAAGGAAAGGAGCCACGCCACGACAGGTGAGACTGGGAAGATGAAGTAGCAGAAAGAATGAGCGCAAGCGAGGCAGCGGTGCTGGAAACTAAACATGTATATATACATATATACACACACACACACACACGCACACACACACACACACGCACACACACACACACACACACACACACACACACACACACACACACACACACACACACACACACACACACACACACACACAAACACGAAAACAAAAGCCAAAAAAGAGGCAGACAAGCAGTGCTCAGGGCTCACCACACAGACAGCTTCATCTGCCATGCGGACGTGCAGGCTCTCCACGTCGGGCTCGGAGTAGATGGCCACACTGCGAATGCCCAGTGCCCGCGCTGTCTTCATGACTCGACATGCTATCTCCCCCCTGTTCGCCACCAGCACCTTGGAGAAGAGCTGCGGTGAGGTGAGCGGAAGGTGTGAACGCAGTGAGGACAGTGCACGACTCTTAGAATGTTTCAGAATGTTTTCTCTGTCATCATAACTCGAAGCGCAATCTCTCCCCACAGTTGGCCTCGTTAGTACCTTCGAGAAGAGATGCAGTGAGGGAGGTGAGAGGCATGCACAACAGTCCGATCATCCATTAGAACGTTCATACTGCTTGCATAACTCGCCACGCTATCTCCCCCCTGTTCGCCACCAGCACCTTGGAGAAGAGCTGGAGTGCGGGGGAAGGAAGCAAAGAACTTCTCGTCCGAAATAGTGGGAGATGGCGCAACCCTCTAATAGACCAACTAAGACCACAACATGAATGTGCGACTATCTTATTCCTACCTTCTCTTTCGGAATCTCGAGTTGACCTGCCGAGTCCGACAACCAACGACGCTGCTGTGGCAGAAAGGGCGGCTGACGAGAGTAAGGCTGACGGGAATAAGGCTGGCGAGGTTGCGGCAGCAGCTGCTGAAGGGAGGCATAGGGCAGCTGAGAACTTTGCAGATGCGTTGAGGCGTCATGATGCGCTACTGACGTGGAAGACGCAGTGGATACGTCATCGTCGTGGCGTGACGCGTGATAAAGGGACGAGGTGGCGACACGTGTTGAGCGACCGGATTGTGCGAGACGCCGTGTACCAGGCGGGAGCCGGGAAAGGCAGAATCTCCACATGATGTCAGAAATTTGAACACTCAACCAGCGAAGGTTCAGCCAGCAATGACAGACGCTTGGCGTTTAAAGAGTAATCAACAGCAACTACTCCTTCGCAGCCAGCGATGAGAGACGCTCGAGTGGCAGCCAGGAACGTAGACGCTTCGCGAAGGTCGATATATGTTAAGAATATCCTGATAATATCCGGAGAATAATATCCGTCTCTGGACACGCTAGTAACGCCTGAGCTAAGCAAAGAGGTTATGCTGCTGCGCTGGAGACCCAGCCGCTTTGTTCACCGCTGTCAACCGCTTCTAGCCTTACTGCTCCTTGTGATCTAGGACGGTGGTCGTGGAGGCGAGTTGGGAAAGATGATGGTTCTTAAAATGGACGACGGGAATGACGGGGCGCGATGGTTGATGGAAGACGCTGCGTCAATCGTTTCGACGATTTCGACAGGATGTTGGGTGCAGACACAAATTTGACGATGAAATGGCGGGGAGAGGAGGAACAATGGCGGAAAAGCGATTAACGGATGAGCGCAACAAGGCTACGATAAGGCCGAAACGATGCAGGCGGCTGTGAGCTGCAAGAATCCGGCGAGGGGCTGAAACAAAGGCGGAGCAGCAGGAAAGACTGGCAACGATGGATCACTCGCTACTACCCTCCAGCCAACAGCAGATGCTCACACTGCTGCTGCCGACGCAAAACAGCTAACGGCCTACCAACAAGAATGTGCCTGAAAAAATAGCACATTGAAATTTGTCTCTGAAAGGAGTCAGGGAGGAGCAGGAAGGCACGTACCCCTTCTCAACCTCCTCGCCACACAGCGAAGCTGGCGAACATTCGGACAGCCAATCCTGAGGCCTCACACTGATACGTAACCAGACCAGAAGGTTTCACCGATGTACAGTACAACAGTGTTTTCTGTGCCTCGGGATTGCCGCCCAGCTGCGGAATCAGTACTTCCGAACCTGGTGACGTTGTGGAGAAGTGGTACGGTTTTCCTCCCCGTGGCTTCCACCCCACAGCGATCACACATCGGGATTCGAAAAACACGTCAGCAAGAAATTGCAGTTTGATACCTGGAGGGAACGAATTTCGAGTAAGGGGACACGCAAGCAGATAGCTTTGATGACGCAATCCACTTGTGTTCCGCTGGACCGACTGACTGTGGGGGTGGGGACACCAATGTAATACTGTAGCTGTAATTTACTCAACACGGGGCGTACACTAAACGTAGCAAACACAACTGATATCATAATCGATTTCAGTTGATACCCCCCCCCATGCGCCGAGCAAACTATTTAAATGTTCTGTTGCCCTGCAACCTTGCAAACCATGACTCCACCTCTTACACACCTCGATGAGGTGGAAGATCAAGGGATTGGCAAACTTCTGCATCCCGCCATCTCTGTTTCTTGCTCAATGGGTGGCGTGCGGAGGAGGCAACAAAAGCAGCACAAACCTCTTGGATATACCCCGTAGCCTGCAGCTACAGCCCAACAACCCAGCAACCCTACATGTTTACATCCAGTACAGAATGTTTACCCATGCTCACTATCTATACAAGGAAAGAATACTTCATTGAGCTTATATATGTAACATAGTGAACTCAACATGACACTGCCACGTTGCAAAAGAACCTAATTACTACTGAAAATTACTAGCAAAGCAGCTGGGCTTACTTATGTCTACCATACCATCTTTCTCCCCTAAAACTGAGACTTGCTGGCCGTTTCCTCGACGTCATGTCTGCGGCCATTGGCACACACTCATGCCTGCTACCCTCTGCCAGCTGGTACCCCCTGAAGCACAGGCACTCAAACTGGAGATACTCCTCTGAAGCAGATCCATAATCTGGTGGCGTTCCTGATTCATAATCCTCTAGAATGGTCGCGGGTACGCACACGCCATGGCCCGAGCAAGGAGCGTTGGTGGCATTGGTGCCACAGAATGTGCTGCAGAGCTCAGCCCGGTGCATAGACTTCATAGGGCAGACTGGATCGCTTGAAGCAAGGCAATTCCACGAGGCGAGTAGCTTCGTGGTCGGCAAATCCAAGGGGGTGCCACTTGGCGTGTAGTGATTAGGGGATTCAGCAGGGCAAATCGGCTCGTCTCCCACCAGCACCTCCCCACTCCCGTAGAAGAAATTCCCTCGGAAATCAGCTTCGAAATCTTCATTGGGGCGGGCAAAGTCCGGCAATCTGCCCGAGAAGAAATTGTGGGAGATGTTGAGGAAGCTCAGAGGGACGTCGACTAGGGCATCGCGAGGCACGATCCCCACAAAGCGATTATGGCTCAGCGTGATACTGTCGAGGTGTTCCATTCCGCGCAGCGCCGTCCACGGGAAGATTCCAGCGAATCCGTTATAAGCCAGGTTGAGGTAGTTGAGCTGAGAACCATTTCCCAACAGGTTTCGTGGAATCTTCCCTTGCAAAGCGTTGCCTGCAAGATTCAGCCCCGTCAGGTTCTTCATCTGCCCGAACTCCGCCGGAAAGCAGCCCGAGATTTTATTCCAGCTGACATCGATGTACTGTAGCGAAGGGTGTACCGCTAATGGCACTAACGAAGACGCGTATAACGAGTTGCGATGAAGGTCAAGCACTTCCAGCCGCCGCATGGAGTTGATTGCGCTGAAAGGGAGGTCACCCGAAAGGACATTGTGTCCCAGGCGAAGCGTGCGAAGTACGCGAAATTTGTCGAAACTGGAAGGTATGGATCCCGAAAGGCGATTCGATTCCAACGAAAGCTCCACGAGGGACCGCAGCGACGCGAGTTGCGGCGGGATAGCTCCTTCCAGGCGGTTCGAGGCAAGGTCTAGCCACGTCAGCCGATGCAGTGTCGAAATCTCGCGAGGAATCCGTCCCGCGAGTCTGTTTTCGCTCAAGGAGAGGGTTACCAGGTTCGTAAGCTCGCCAATCCCTCGCGGAAGATTGCCTGTCAGCTGGTTGTCCGAGAGGATAAGAATGGACAGATCCGTAAGTGCCGTGACAGTCTCAGGAAAAGGTCCTGTTAATCCGTCTCCGTTTCCCGAAATGTACAGCTCCCGTAAGAACCGAAGGTTGCTGATTTCGGCAGGAAGCGAGCCAGTGAGATTGTTCCCCACAAGCGTGAGGCTCTCGAGGGCCGATAGGTCGCCGAAGGTGGGCGAAATACTTCCGGTAACCCGTGATGAAACGAGCATCACGCCGTTGACGTCGCCATTGCGGGTACAGCTGATGCCCGACCACCTGAAACAGTCCGCTCCAGGGATCCACGAATCTGAGCCGTCAAACTCGCCCCATTTGGATTTGATCGCCAGAAGCGCGTCTTCTTGGGAGGGTTCTATCACGGCTGCTTCGGATCGATGAGGCAGAAGCACGAAATGAGCTAGTAATATTGCTGTAATTATCGCTGCCCTGAGGTAGGGAGCTCCAGCAACGTGGACCGAAAGCGAGACATGACGTGAAATGTGCGCATCTAAAAAAGGCGCCATAACTACCTGACGTGCTAATTTGGTTTTCTGGGGCTGCGCTAACACACACAAGGTCTACTTTCTAGGCGAATTCTTGCAAAGTAGGTAATATGACAAAGAAAGGAGAGTAATGTCAGAGTGATGATATAGCTCTCGAGATCAGTGTGGAGTTGTTGATGAGTTGAGCACAGCCGACCATGTGGGCCTACCTTGCATACAAAGAAGACGTTTCTGGCCGACTGAGACTGTGAGAGCCACCCCACCCACCCATCCCGTTGCAGTTCGTCACATGGGATGAACAAATGAACGTCCAGCGACGACAAGCGGGAATTCGAAGTTGGAAGCAAAATGCGTCACCCAACTTGCGGTTCGGGTGTTCCGTCTGATTGTGCAAAGGTTCCAATTCTCGCATCGCCTGATGGTCGTTGAACAGTAAATTGGAGTGGCAAAAATTGGAACGGCGGGAGATGGGAATCCCGTTCAAGCCGCCGTGGTCAACGCTCGAATCTGTTCATTGTGATAGAATGTGTACACGAGCTACCACCTTAAAGTTGTACACTTCTAGCTTAGATCACACATGTGACATATTGATAAAAGCCAAAGACGCTTCCTAAAACCAGCTGCAAATAAAAGGCGAGAAATCAATTCAGAGCGTTAAAGAAACATGAATTGATATTGGGAAAAATGTAACTGAGCGTCATTTCCTGATAGGGAACAGCAGATTTTCTTGGAGGCTGAAACATACAGACAAAAAGAACATGATCTCATCAAACCAGAGCTTGCAATGAATCCTCCCCTAGAGACCCTCAACTGAATTCTATGTTCGGCAATTCCCAGGACCACATCAGCGCTGGGCCACACGGTAGACCATAGAAGTATCCGTTTCACCTCTGACGCCTGTAGCATCCCTCGTACAGGAATGATCAGAGCGGGTGGATGAGTAGTTCTGTGATTAGCCAAAGCCGATAAGCACAGACGTCATGCGTCGGCAGGTAGAATCCAAGGACGTGCTAGGCGTAAGCGGACATGGCTCCATCAGCAGCATCATTCCCGTCGGCAGCAGCCGTAGAGCAGCACCATGAAAGCTTTCGGCGATGCGTGGACGATTGGGATTCTCGCGTGTCGGTGCTGACACACCAGGTATATGCACACCCGTTATACGCACACTGGCTTGGTGCAATTCCTCCTTTACTTATCTGCACACCTTCCATGAGTACGTCTTGTCTTCGTCAGTTCATCTCCCTTTCCTCTTTTTCCCACATCTAATCCCGCTTCTGTTTTTTTTCTGTCAATTCCTGTCACTATGAATCCTTGTGAATCCTTATAAGTGTATCAATTTCTGTCAATACGTATTAGCTGCCATCATTTTACACCACTGCGTTTCGCAGTAAAATAATCAGTCCTTTTATCAGTTGCTCCATACATAAGACTCCCAATTCATTCCAGAACTGTCCTTGGGTTTAACCCTTCTGACACTTCTCCAATGTCCAGTTGCAGGCTCGGAGCCACTCAGCATGTGAATTAGACAGGTGGCACAACGTGATTGGCGTATCTGCAGAGCCATGGGGCGGAGGGAATCCTGCTGCAGCATCCACAGCAGCTTCTGTAGTGGCGTCAGCAGCAGCAGCACCCGCAGGAGCACCCGTAGGAGCACCCACAGGAGCACCCGCAGGAGCTGAGGGGTCGACACGAGTGTCGCCAGATTCATTGAACCTGCTCATTCAACACATCTCGTCCAAATGCTGTGCCATACACGATGCAGAACAGGAGGTCTGTGTGTGTGAGTGTGTGCGCGCGCGCACACGCGCGTGCGTGCGTTACACTTGCGAGGATGGATGCGGAGGTGTGTGTATGGAATCATGTTAAACAATCGTCAGCTCCTTCTTTCTGTACTCCTCATTCCCTGTTCATTTGCCCCCCCTTCTCGTTTCTGCCTCTTGCCTTACCTCTCCTGCTCTCCTCACTTCCCTACTGCCCCTTACCCCTCCTTCCATCCTATCCCTCCCTCCTTCCCATCCGCCTTCCCCCATTGCTACCCGTTCACCTGATTCCCTGCAGGTCTTACACCGGTTGCTGCCTTGCCTGCTGCTATTTGGAAAATCTCCTGCAGGCACCCCCCCCTCCGGTCCCTTCGCTTCTTCCAACTCACAATCCTCTGCTGGGGGAAAAAATAGCAGATCAGCATGAGGATGGGGATGCGGGTGAAGCTGGTGATAGTGATGTGGAGGACAGGGAGGATAGGGGAGGGCGGGAGGACAAGGAGGAGCGGGAGGGTGGGGATGGGGATGGTGGATTGGAGAAGAGTCAACAGGAGCGAGGTGGGGACGAAGGGAGATTAGGGGGAGGGGTTGGGGAAGATGAGGATAGCGGAGGGGGAGGACCAGCTGAGGCGAGGGGTGAGGGTGGTACAAGCAAGAGTGACAGAACTGAAGGTGATAATGGCGAGGGGGAAGGGGATGGAGGCGAAGAGGTTTGGGAAGAAGGCGAAGAAAAGGATTCAGGAGAGGAGGACGGGGAGGACGGGGAGGACTGGGAGGGCGGGAATGCAGTGGAGGAGGAGGGAAGGGAGGGAGGGGGAGAGGAGGGTATAGTGGGAGCAGGAGAGGAGGGAGCGGAAGGGGTGGAAGGGGAGGAGCAGCAGCGGGTGGCGCGCGTGTTAGTAGACCTTCAGGCGCTGGTGCTGGTGGGGAAGGACCTCCTACTATGGAAGAGCTGCTAGTGCTGCTCGTGGCGCTGGTTGCAGGGGAGGATGGGAGGGGCGCAGGGTGGGATGGAGGTTTGGCTGGAGGATTGGGCGAGGGGGAGGCGGATGAGGGGCTCCGGGAGTTGCTTCGTTCCGACTGGTTCAAATCGGCAGACTATTTCACAGTAAGTGTGGACCCAGCCCAGTCCCCGTACTTCACAGTAAGTGCGTTTGTAGATCTGCAGGCGCTGGTGCTGGTGGGGAAGGACCTCACTGCCTCTATGGACTGGTTGGAGGGGAGGACGGGAGGGGCGCAGGGTGGGATGGAGGTTTGGCGGGATTGGGTGAGGGGGAGGTGGATGAGGGGCTTCAGGACTTGCTTCGTTCCGATTGGTTCAAATCGACAGAGTACTTCACAGTATGTCTTGACACATACAGTCCCCCTTGTACATAAGCTGACTGAAACAAATCAGCCTCTGTTACATAAAAGCCCTTTCAGCGGTCGCAAAAGGGGCGGCTGTAAGTTTGCTTATCGAATCACCCCTTACTGCCAACCCTTCTCTGCTCGTTTAAGTCTTCTTGATCCGTCTTACCCTCTCTGTGTACCCTCTCTGTGTTCCCGATCTTGCCACCATCTCAGCCGGCTCTAGACGCGCTCGCAACAGGGGCGGCTGTGCTTCTAGTGATCGACTCTGCTCTTGCAGCTAACCCCGCTGTTGCCCGGGGGATTGCTGCTTACAACAGGTGTGTACGAGGGGGCTATAATTTTGAGACTTGCCAAATGCCCGGGTGTGTGGTGTGGGAAATCCACACTTAAACGCCTGTCGTTGAGGTGCCTAAAAAATCAAACGCCTGTTTTCTTGTCTTTCTTAACCATGCCTTTGGATTTTTCTAAGCACCTTCTCCTTCACTACACCTCACATCCACACTCCCTCCATCAACCCATCCCATCTCCCCACATCCACGCCCTCTCAGCTTGCCTGCTCGTCCACACCCATAAGCCCCAATGCAACCTCTCCTCCATATTCACAACCGACGGATTATCTTAAGTTGCCCTCGCTGTTCTGTCCCCTCTTCAACACCCATCCGTTTCCCACCAAACAGAATGCTCCAGGCAGTGCGTTGCAGCATGGAGGCATACTCCACGGTGCGCAGCGGTGCAAAGCGGTGCCAGAAGAAGGGAGGGAGAGGAAGCAGAGGGCAACGCGAAGAGTTCGAGTTGTCTCTGGCGGAGCTTCAGGGGTTGCTGATGATGCTGGAAGCAGCAATAGGGCCGCAAGGCCAGCAGGAAACCTTTTTCCAGGTAGTTTTTCCCACATTTCTTCTCTCCTTTGTTCGCGATCGTCTTTCCCTTTCTATATCCTGCAATAGAAAATCGTGCGGCCTGCTATATCTTCTTCGCAGGCCCCTCCATTATCCCCAGTTCTGAGTACGCCTCCCATCCCAACCCCCCGGACGTTTCACAGAGCTGGAAGGAGAGTGTGGCCCAGGCAGTGGGTCCTGAGGCACCTCCCCTCGCTGCTGCAGCAAAGGCCGGGAAAGGAGGAAAGGGGGGCAGGGCGAAGGCAGGTGCGGGGCGGCAGGTGCTGAGTGGGCGGGCGCTGTGGCGGCAGCAGCAAAGGTGGCTGCTGCCGTTGGTGACTCATCTGAACTCCTCTGCTAACCGTCCCCACCCATTCCTCCCTAATTTCCGTATCTGGCTCCCATTACAACCCACCGGATGTTTCACAGAGCTGGAAGGAGAGTGTGGCCCGGGCAGTGGGTCCTGCGGCACCTCCCCTCGCTGCTGCAGCCAAGGAATTTTTAATTGACTCAAAAGCCTCCCATCCCAACCGGACGTTCTACAGAGCTGGAAGGAGAGTGTGGCCCGGGCAGTGGGTCCTGAAGCGCCTTCCCTTTCGAGACGACTCAAAAGTCCTCAGTTTTGATTCTCCCCTTTCATCCCAACTGGGCGTTTCACAGAGCTGGAAGGAGAGTGTAGCCCGGGCAGTGGGTCCTGAAGCGCCTTCCCTTTCGAGACGACTCAAAAGTCCTCAGTTTTGATACTCACCTCCCATCCCAACCACACGTTTCACAGAGCTGGAAGGAGAGTGTGGCCCGGGCAGTGGGTCCTGAAGCACCTCCCCTCGCTGCTGCAGCAAAGGCCGGGAAAGGAGGAAAGGGGGGCAGGGCAAAGGCAGGTGCGGGGCGACAGGTGCTGAGCGGGCGGGCGCTGTGGTGGCAGCAGCAGAGGTGGCTGCTCCCGCTGATGGCTCATTCGAATGCTTCTGCTGATTCGGCACTCCATGCCATTGGTGCGTGCTGTTCTGTTTGACTTTTGAGATGCCACTGATAGGCTAGTCACTGGTGGCCCATTTCAACTCCTCTGCTAGCTTTGCACTCCATGCCATCAGTTCAAGGCCTTCGTCATCCTTCCCCCATTCCTTCCCTTCCCCCTCTCGTCCCCTTTTCCCGTTATTCCCTCCTGTCTCCACCCACCATGTCACTGGCACTGCCAGCCAGTCACTCCGAGCAGCACAACACGCGCCGCCATTTAGCCGGATGCATTGCTCTCTTCCTCTCACTCGCACCCATAGCAGGTGAGGTGAGGTAAGCATCTAGATTCAATGTTTCTAGGTGACTGACTTTTGAGTCGACTCAAAAGCCGGATGCATTGCTCTCTTCCTCTCACTCGCACCCATAGCAGATGAGGTCAACCTTCTAGGTTCAATGTTTCTCTCAGTTTTTTTTTGGCACCCTCTTATTCTGTTTCTTGTTTTCGTGTATTTGTTTGTATTCTCGTCTCTACTCAAGAATCGATACTCACCGTAATCATTCACCGTTCTTGTTCTCGTGGCAGCGTCGGGCTATGAGAAGCAACTCATAAAGGCCACCCCAAGCCTCTTCGAAGCGATCCGGCTGCATCCTCTGCTACCTCTAGCCGGACCCCTCCCCCTCTCGGTCACTCTCCCCCCCCTCCTCGCTCTCCACCTGCCCCCTGCACTTCTGGCGGTTTCTCCTGCGCCCTTCTGCACCCTGGGGGAGGGCATGGGCGGGGGGCCGGGGGGATCGAAAAGGGCAGGGGGAAAGGGGGAGGTGAAAGCAGGGAAGGGGAGTGTGGAGGGGAGGGGGAACGGAGGAGAGAGTGCGCGCGGAGTGAGGGAGAGTGCGCGCGGAGTGAGGGAGAGTGCGCGCGGAGTGAGGGAGAGTGCGTGCGGAGTGAGGGAGAGTGCGCGCGGAGTGAGGGAGAGTGCTCGCGGAGTGAGGGAGAGTGCGCGCGGAGTGAGGGAGAGTGCGCGCGGAGTGAGGGAGAGTGCGCGCGGAGTGAGGGAGAGTGCGCGCGGAGTGAGGGAGAGTGCGCGCGGAGTGAGGGAGAGTGCGCGCGGAGTGAGGGAGAGTGCGCGCGGAGTGAGGGAGAGTGCGCGCGGAGTGAGGGAGAGTTCGGCGTTCCCACCCGATGGCTGCCCACAGTAGCGTAGTCACCTAGCTAGAGTAGCTTGGATGCGGTAACCTTTATCCACAGTAAGAGGCAAACAAACGAGAGAACGAACGAAGCCCAGGGCAGCCTATTTGAACGTAGTGCCCAGGGCAGTTACTCGTAAGTCACATTTGGCTCAGCCCGCTAGGCTTCAGGATTGGCCCTTCGGATTGCCCAGGGCTCGCTGTCCCTTGAATTTGTCCCACCCTGCGCCTCGCTAGTCCCTGGGTCACCACTTTGCGTCACTACCCACGCACCAAACCCACCTTCTACAGTACTTTGAATAACCCAGCTACACCTACACTAGCAAGTAACTGAATCTATTGCACATAGCAATATATTCTGTGACAACAATGCAACAGATTACACCATATATCCACACATCCTTCGCTCCAGATGCTTTCATTCTGTCATGTTTTCCAATCGCGATATCCACACCCCATCTCATAGTCCCTCCGTCACCCCGCTTACCATCCCTACCCTCCAGATATTATGAGTCGACTAAATAATCATCCCATAGTCCCTCTGTTACGCATCTCAATATCCCTACCCCCCAGCTCACCAGCATGCTTCAGCTGACGTGGCATCAGCTGCCATCAGATCGCCTCCTCTCCTTCCTTTCGACTGCTTGTGCCCTCCTCCCTCCCCTTGTAAGCAAATCCCCCCTCCCTCTGTTTGTAAGGCTCCCTCCCCCTGTAAGCACCTTCTTGAAAACCTTAACAAGAGCAACCATTTCCACGTCAATCCTTTCCTGTTTTTACTTTTTTTCCCTCCTGTCATTTGCCCGAGCATACAGTCCTCTTCCAGTTTCTTTCTCATCCATTTTCTGCGACCACATCGCATCTTACCATTTCTATCCATTCGCTCTTCCAACCCTCTCCCTCCCTCCCTCCCCCCTCGCTCTGACAACCACCACCTGCTTGATTACGCCAGTTCCACTTATCGATCCCTCCATTTATTTGCAGGTCGCCCCCACTCCCTCCTGCCAACCACTACTCGCTCAACTCCACTTTTCCACACTCCTCCCATCCCTCTCCTCATCCTCCTCCTCCTCTTACTCCTCCACCACCACTGCCTGTTTCTTCCTCTCCTCGCGGCCTCATCTCCTCGCCCCTGCACTTGCTGCTCTCTACTCGCAGCCACTCATCCATCCCACCTCGCTCCAGTAAAACCCCGTCTCCCAAAGAACCCACTCCACCTTGAGCTATAGCATCATTCATCACTGCCACTCTGTACAGCTCCCTGCTTTTGCGTGCGGCAATGATCCTCACTGAATTGGCTTTTGAGTCGACTCAAAAGCCACCTCGTGGCAATGATACTAACCGAATTCCATCCTACAAGTCTCACAAGTCCCATCGCTGTGCTGTGAACCTCCTCCCAGGTACCTGATAGACGCCTTCCTGGACGGGGCCCGGCTGCTGCTCCTGCAGCCGCACACACAGGGAAGACATGGGAAGCATCCGAAGGGGCACACGGGGAGAAGGTGCGGCGGACGGACCGTCTCTTGGGGTGACGTTTACAGTGTGGAGAATCAACTGGATTCTGCGTTGGTTCAGGTGAGTGGGTGTTGGGTGTTTCCACAGCCAGAGATTTGAAAGAACCTTATGAGTGGTAACTGGGGCAGGTCGTGCGGTGATGCCCTTGGTAGGTCTGATTCTTGGCAACTGGGGAGGCCACGTCCCTTGTCATCCCATCTGCAGTCATTCCTTCAACCCCTCATTCGAGACGTCATAGCGCAGCGCACCTCCCTCTGCACGCCGTCTCATCGCCTCCTCTCTCTTCTCTGCACATCCCACCGCACCACACCTTCCCCACACATCCCATACGCAATGCAGTTATTCCTTCGTCCCCTCACTCGAGACGTCATCGCCGACCTCCATCTGCATGCCATCTCACACTCCGATCTGCTCTCTGCCAATCCGCGCTTCAACCCCCGCAAGGTACCTTCCTTCCCCCCACCACACGTTACGTGCCCTCATTTGAAGCATCATTGAAAGCCTCCATCTGCACGCCGCCTCCATCTGCACGCCATCTCCCACTCCGATCTGCTCTCTGCCAATCCGCGCTTCAACCCCCTCAAGGTGCCTTATGTCTTCCGCCCCTCGGCCCAACACACCATTTGAGTCGACTCAGAAAGTCACATGCGGTCAACCAGTTGGACCACATGTCACCACATGTCACCACATGTCACCACGTGCACTCATCTCACATGTACGCGCGCTCCCCTCTCTCACTCACTTTCAAACAGTCTCTTTCAAGACTCTCACTCACTTTTTTTGGAGACTTACAAGAAACCACTCACTCTAATTAGAGAGAGATCTCAAAGAGAGATATCTCAAACGCACTCTCAGTTTTACCCTCAAGTTAACCCTGCGTCCACACCCTCCCATCACCACTGCAAGCAGACAGGGGTGCGCAATCTGCTGCAGTTCCTGCAGCTGCCGCCCATCCGCCTGCTCTCGAGGCAGATTGACATACACACGTGGCACAAGCACTAGCAACCTCTCTCTATAATCACACTGCAGCTTCTCCTGCCAATTGGAAGGTCCGTATTCTTCTTCGATTACTGCAACATATAAGTCCTTGATCGCTACTGTCTCCCTAATCTGCATCCCTTCGTTTACTCATAGCCATGTTTGCCGCTCACTCTTCACAGCACAGGGGCGTTACACGATACCTGAACTGCAACTCCTTCCACTGCATTCGAGGTGACTTTTGAGTCGACTCAAAATTCATCAGCTTACCATCTTGCGGATCTCTCTGTCCTTTTCTTCCTTTCCCTGCTTTCCTGTCACCACCACCAGCTAGGCGAGGATGTGAGACAGCTAGCGGCTAGCAAATATCGGCTTCTTTTGCCACCAATCGCCATAGGGGGAGGCCTAGCATTCAAACTCCACAGCCCCCCTACTTTCTCCTCCTCCACCTCCTCTCCCTCCCTGCCATTCTCCCTCCTCCACCCTCCCTCTCTTGCTGCCAATCTCCCGTTCTTCGTCTCTGCCTTCTCATTCGATCTTTCCACCTTGACCTTCCACCAACTGCCCTCCACCCTGGCCAGCTTCCACGAAGCTTCCTCGCCCACCCCGTCCTCGCACGGGCCTCGGTCACTCACGCTTCGCCAGCTGTCCTCTCTCCTCCAATCCACGCACGCCATGCTGTTCCTCCAGCACGCTGCCACGTCAGCGTGCAAGCTAATAGCGGGGAAGCTGTCTCACCTGTCTCGACTGTTCTTGCATGACAGAGCTCACTCGCTGCTGCTGCAGTTCATAAAGCAAATACAGCGACAGCAGCAGTTGCAGCAGCAGCAGCAAGGGAAAAAACAGCAGGAAAGCCAAGCTACTGGTCTGGCAGTTCCTGTCAACACTGTTTCTTCTGCTGCTGCTGTTACTGGTGGGAAAGGCTCTCCTGGTGCCACTGGTGCGGGTGTCGGAGTTGAGCCTACTTTTGAGACTGACGCTGGTGTGGCATTGACAATGGAGGCGGTGGATGAGCTAAAAAATGTGAGCACTCCACGCCATCACTCCTGCTCATTCATTCGCTTTTCCCATCTTGTCAATGTGAGCATATCCATCACACACACCACTCCTTCTCACAGCTCCTCACTGCTTCCAGTAAGCTGGGTCGCACCACTCCGACTTACACTTGTGTGTGGGTGTGTGAGCTCGCACACACACATGCGTGCGTGCATGTTTTCTCCCATGCATGCTTGTTGGCATGCACAGTCACTTAGTCATGCGTCCTCCCCTTTTCTCTGTACTGCCTCTGCCCGACCTTGTGAAAAGCAACAGAAACTCCAGGAGATTTTAGTGGATCCTGATTGGCGGGCATCCAAGCCCGGCCCTGCTGCCAAACCCCACCATACATCTGCTGCCAAACCCCACCATACATCTGCTGCCACTGCATCAGCATTGCTATCATCATCAGCAGCAGGAGATGGAGTTTCAGGGAAGGGGAAAGATGAGAAGAGTGGAAGAGGAGGGGCAGAGAAGTGGCCGTGGGGGGAGGTGGTGGTGGATGAGATGAGGGAGCTTGGGGTAGCGCTTGGGTTTGTCCTGGCTGCTGCTACAGCTGCGTGCCACAGTTCGGAGCACACTCTCAGGTGAGAGCAACAGAAGGAGCAGGGTTGTACGCAATATAGAGGCCATGTGGGGAGGGGGTAGCTTTCGAGTTTGTCTTGGTTGCTGCTACAGCTACCTGCCACAGTGCTGAGCACACGCTTATAGATCAACAAAAGAAAATTATGCTCAGATGATACCAGTGGAAAAATCTCTTGCATGAAATTTAGTTGGATATTGCTGGCTGGAGCAGCCTGTCTCCAGCATCTCCCTGCATGTCCTTTCATGCTTTCCCATTTTCAGATTCAAGAGCATTTCTGAGATTCAAGAGCAGACTGTTGATTCATTCATCGAATGGCTGTAACACTGATTTTTTCTCTGTCTCCTCCTTTCCCACGCTTCTTTCTCCCAGCGCCCTTTCCTCACTCGCAATTAGCTCGTTTTTGAGGCGCCTCAAGAACATCCTTTCAGAATTCTCAAAAAACATACGCTCCTTTCCCACGCTTCTTTCTCCCAGCGCCCTTCCCTCACTCGCTGCAGGATCACCTCTCCACCAATTCCTCCTTGCCTCGCCTCTCTTCCACCAGTCTCTCGTCCTCCTCTCCTCTCTTTCCAACGCTCTCCGCCCAGCAGCGCGCACTCAACCTGTGCCGCTGCTCCATCTGCTCGTGAACCTCTTTCAAAGGGTACGCACCTATTATTGATTGGCCGACTTTGTGAGTCAATTCAAATTGTGTGCGTACCCTTGAAATTGACCCAACAGTCGCCCAGCATCACACGCCTGTGCCTGTGCACCATCTGCTTGTGGATCTCTCGTATAAGGCAAGCGTCCACCCTGCTAGCACCACCAGTGGCTTACGACTTGCTTGCCTTTCCCTCGTGTCCTTCCTTCTTCGCCCTGTTAAGACATCTGAAAATTCTCGTTTCTCCTGCCCCCATCACCACCTTCTCCCTCCCCCCTTGACTCGTTTCCCATTTTCTCTCGCATCCACCCCTCCCCCTCAGGAGCTGCAAGGCTCGCCACATCGCCCTTTCCTCACGCTCCCTGCCGCCATACCCCCACTCTCCCTACTTTTGGCGTCCAAGAAGCAGCTAGCGCAGCAGAGATTAGCAGATGCAGTGGCAGGTGGTGGCAGGGACGGTCGTGTGGGGGGAGACAGGACTGTTAATGGGGCTGGTGGGGGTGAGGGAAGGAGAGGATGGGAGACAGCAGGAGAGGGTGAAGGGGGAGCGTGGGAGGCACAGGATGATGACTGGTTGCCTGATGATGGATTCACACTGGGAGTGGCTTTCCTGCTCACGGTAGGTTACCAGCACTGCTGGTGCTCTTTCTGCTCACATTTTTGTTTACAGCAAGGAGAAGAGGTTATTGTTTCGAGGCTGCTTTTGAGGCACCTCAAAACTGGTGCTCTTTCTGCTCACATTTTTTTTTACAGCAAGGAGAAAAGGTTATTTTTGTTTCGAGGCTGCTGACATGCGTGGAATGAGCGCGAGATGCAAGTGAGCGAGATGCAAGTGAGCGCGATGCAAGTGAGCGCGATGCAAGTGAGCGCGATGCAAGTGAGCGCGAGATGCAAGTGAGATGCATGAGAATCCCTATGCCATCCCTTGTGTGTTTGTCCACGGATTGGTTTCTCTCTCCCTCTTCAGGTGGCCAATCAGCGCCTTGCCTTTGAGTCAATGGACTGGTTCTCCCTCGCCCTGCACCATCTCTCCTTTCAACGCCGATCCATGCCCACCAACCCTCTCACTACTGCTGCTGCTGCTGCTGCTGCTGGCGGCGGCGGCAAGTGGTGGTGGTGCTGCTGCTGCTGGTACTGTTGGTGGTGCTGTGAATGGCAAGTCAGGAGGCAGGGGAGGAGATGCTGGGGAGGATGATGACGAGGAGGAGAAGGGAGGGAGAGCTGGGGGTGCTGGAGGAGGGGTGACTTCCCTCTGGTCCTCCTGGTTCGGAGCCGCTGCTGCATCTGCCGAACCTGCAGCTTCACAGCCGGAGCTGTCTCCCGAGCTGACTCACCAGCTTCGGCAGGTTGGTCTGGTTGTATCCTGTCTAATAACCTGACTACCAACATTGTGTGCTGTCTAACACACCATCCAACCTGGTTCCTCATTACAGTATCTTTAACCCATTTTTCTCCCCGTTGTCTCTCCCTATTCTCTCCCTGTTTACACTTCTTATGGCAGAGAGAGCGAATGCTGGCAGGTATGGCAGAGCAGCTGAGCCTAATGAATGTAGTAACCGTCGCTGCTCTTCGGTTGTTTGACTCCGGACCAGCTGCCACATACTGACATGATGCTGTGGTGTTGAAAGTGCTACTGATCAGAGTGAATGGCGGAATTTGCCTTTTTATATCAAATATAACATATTACAAGAATATAGTAGTGTGGTAATGTAGTAGCACAGTAATAGAGCCACTAAACATATTCTGAATACACTTCAGTACAGATTCACTGATGCATGCTTTCACTTGCTGGATTTCAGAATTGAAGTCAAGTCGAAAGCATCGACTCGAACCAGCTTTCGTTCTGCTGGATCCTCCCCCCCAGATTCACTCTCTCCTGACCCTCTTATCCTGACCCCATTGCATTCACACCCCTCCTCTCGCCCTGAACCACTCTCGGTCACATGGCTGGAACCAGACTCAGCCTCCAGAAGCTCCCTCAGCTGCTCAGCAACCGATGCTCCTCTTGTGCCCTCGTCCAGTCTGTGCGTGCCAATACAGGTGGGTGTGGGTGGGTGATTTGTGGTCAGAACTTGGAACGGCAAGCGCTCGTTACAGCTTAATTGACAGTTGGTTATCGGCAAGACAACTGGTTACACAACTAGGAACCATAACGCCTGACCGTGAATGCAATGCACACCACAGGGTGACAGGGAACACCAGTACGGTATGTGAAAGCATGTCAAAACGGGTGATGTAAAAAACAAGCGTTTAGAGTTTTGGGTTTAGCAATTCGGGATCAGATCAGCGCACACACCTGTCGAAGAAGTTTTTTGAGGCGCCTCAAAATTTGCTGCTACTCCACGATGAACAGCAATTCGGGATCAGATCAGCGCACACACCTGTCGAAGAAGTTTAGAGCAGAAGCAGCGTCACCCGAAGCTGCTCGCCTGTGCCACGGCCTGTGAGGGCCCTCTTGGCAGTGAAAGACGACCCTTCTGCTCCACGGCACGTGCTGTTGCCTGGTGTTTTGAAAGTTAGAAAAAACAGGTGCGCACGCACCTGTCGAAGAAGTTTGGAGCAGAAGCAGTATCACCAGAAGCCGTTCTGTGCCACGGCCTGTGAGGGCCCTCTTGGCCGTGAAGGACAGCCCTCCTGCTCCACGGCACGTTCTGCTGCCTGCCCTCCCCTCCCACCATCCGCAGCTGCCTCACAGCCTCTGCACTGCTCTTCCAGCTCCTCGCACCCCTAGAACTTCCACTTCCAGATGGCTTCTGCGGCGCCTCAGAAGTCACTGCTGCCCGCAGCTGTCTCGCTGTCTCCGCGCTGCTTCGCCAGCTCCTGCCGCTGCTGTTAAAACCAGATGTCTGCCGCTTGCTGCTGTGCGGTGCATGCATCTGCGGGGAGAGAACGCGGGGACTCTGCTGGGAAAGAACGCGGGGACTCTGCTGCTCGATGCTGGGCTGGATCACACGGCCCTGCTGCTGCTGCTCAGAGCTGCCACGGAGTGAGAGATGTAAGGGAGAGCGGTCATCGGGTGATCGGGCGAGGCGCTGACGTGGCGAGACGCGATTGGCGGTGTGGATCGGATTTAGATCCCCAGCAGATGATGTTCTGCGGTGCTGCTGCTGCCGCTGCTGATTCTGTTGCAGCCTTCCCCCCGCGTTTCTCAGTTCTTGGCTTGATGCGGTAAGTCCGAAAGCTGCTCTGTTTGTTACAGGAGACGTGGGAGAGAGGAGGACATGACCCAGGTAAGATGAGGAGGAGGAGGAGGAGCCTACTCTTCGCCCTCCTTGCCCTGCCGCCTGTGCTGCTGCAATTGCTGCTCCATGTGGAGCTGCTGCAGATTTTGCTGCATGTGAGCTGCCTGTCAGGTTCCTGTCCTTGCTCCACTGCTGCCCCCTGTTGTACTTATCAACCAGGGTGTTGACCGTCTGCTGAAGCGACAGCAGACCCTTCTGAGAACCCGACACCACCGATTTGCTCAACGTTGTCACCACTTTGAACCCCGTGTCGGCCCCCATGCTCTTGCTCAGTGCTTTGAGTCCCGAGTCAACTCGCACACCCCTGCCTGGCGTTTTTGACCCACCGTCAGCAGCATGCACGGCTGTGCGCAGGGCTTTTGCTGCAGCTGGTGCTGCTGGTGATGCAGCGGCTAGGGAAGAGGGTGACGCTGAGAGGAGAAATGATGGCACAGCGAGGAAGGAAGCAGAAGAGGCACATGCTGAAGCACCAGCTCCTGCGGGACAGGCCTCTGAGTGGGGCTCGATAGGACCAGCTTCTGCGGGACAGGCAGCGGGAGAGACAGAGGGAGAAGCGGAGGGAGTGGCAGGCAGAGACACAGACTTGAAGGAGGCAGACTGATGGAAGGCTGAGCGCATCGCCCCGCGGTCCTCCTCTTCTGTGCAAGCCCAATCACTGCTGTGACTCCTGCCATGCACTGCCCCAACCCCAATCACCAAAAGACCCTTCGTGCCTGCCTCCTCCCCCTGCTCCTCCTCCTCTGTCCTCCTCCCCTCCCTTCTGTGTCTATTCTGTGATGCTGCTTCCCCACTGTTGTCATCCTCGTCTCCCTCCTGACCGTCCCGTTTTGCCTTGCGCCTGTTGCTTCCTCGCAAGCCAAGCTGCAGCGGCCTTCTCAGCTGCACTGGCTGTTCCAGCCGGCATGATTGCGTTATGTCAGGCGTTTCATCTGGCGTTTCAACTGGCGTTTCATCCGGCGTTTCATCTGGCGTTTCATCTTGAGATTGCTCCTTCTGTGAGCAGGGGCCGGGTGGCGTGTCTTGTGACAGCAACGAGGAGGAAGCCATGCGCCGCTCTTCACGCGAGATATTCAATGGTAAGTTTGGTAATCTGAGAGACAGGTTCGGTGCTTTGGGTAATAGGCTCAGTGAGCTAGGTGAGTTCGGTAGTCTGGGTGACAGGTCCGGTGGCCTGGGTGATAGGTTCGGCAGTTTAGGCAGCTTCGGTGACCGGGGGGGCAAACGGTTTGATGGCAAACAATCGGGCACGCAGATTGGGGGTCGGTGGGAAGCTGGGGAGGGGTGTTGCCCGGTGGTGGGTGATGACTGCTGGTGGGGCAAATTTTTAGAGAGTGGACTTTGGAAAGGGGCGGATTCAGATGCTGGTATTGGGTGGCGGTTTGGTGGAGAGGAGAGGTGCTGAGAGCCTGGGAATAGCGGGATTTGAGTGGGGGAGTGGGGAAGGAAGTGAGACGGGGAGTGTGGGGAGATGTTGGAGGCGGAGTGAGGGGAGAGAGGGGGAGGGGAGAGAGGGAGAGAGGGAGTGTGGTGGTGTTGCGTTGCTCGTCTCTTGCGGGCGGTGTGATACTGCCATCTGTCTGCAACAGATGGCGCCCTCTCGTCTTCCATCCCTCCCTCTACCCCCACATCAGATCTCACCACCCACTCCTTTTCTAACAGCCCCCTGACCTCCAATTTCTCCAGCCGCCTCACTGCCACCTCCTTCCCCTGCCTGTGTTCAGACGTCTCTGGAGATCCCTTGCTTTCACACAGCCTTGGGAGAGTCTTGTACCGACGCACACGAACCTCTTCATTGCCCTCGGATTCTGACCCGCTATAAGCATCTGCGCTAACGTACAAGAGCCTGGCAGCAGCAGAGAGTGTTCGCTGGATGGTCATTCCACCTCCACTACCATCCCTCTCGCTTCTGCTCCCGTTCCTGCTTCCGGACCTACTCCCGGGCCTGCTACCATGCATACTACCGGACCTATTTCCAGGCCTGCTACCATGCCTACTACCAGGCCTGCTTACGGGCCTGCTACCGTGCCTACTACTAGGTCTGCTATCTCCATCACCGTAAACAACAGCCGCTCCAAGCAATCCTTTTATCTCCTCATCCTCCTCCCCATCCTCCTCCTCCCCCCCTTCCTCCTCCTTATCCTCTCGTATCTCAACCCCTCTTATCTCTCTCTCCCCATGGTCCTCATCTGCCTTTTCCATCTTTCCTTTCTCAACCCGTCTTATAACTGTTCTTCTTCCAAACTCATCCCCACCTTCCTCCTCCTTCTCCTCCTCCTCCTCCACCTCCTCCTCCACATCTTCTCCCTCCTCAGCAACCCGTGTCAGGATTGGTCCACCCACAGCAGCGTGAGGGCCACTACACCCACCGCTGCTGCTTGTTCTGCCCAAACCGCTCTGAATCTCCTCCGATCTTCTACCACCACTGCTGCTACTACTCCCACCGATTCCTCTCCGAGCCGTCTCAGAACCTCCACTGCTCATCCCTGTGTAAACAAGACTCTTCTGGCTGTGAGGAACCTCAGAAATCCCTCCGCTGCTGCTGCTGCTGCCCCTGTCACTCAGCGAGGCTGTACGGCCAAATACAAACACGTCTTCCCGTTCCAAATGCTCCCCACCCCAGTTGCCACCTCCCCCCCACTCGTGCCCTCTTGATCCCACCCCGACCCCCGGAGCTGCCCATGCTGGCTCGGCTCCATCTGGGCCGTCGGATCCTGTGTGCACCGGATGATGATCGAACACGAGCCGTTGGATCTCAGCTTGGTTCTGAGCGTCCTGCAGGCGAGCAGCCTCTCTGTTGGGTTGGGGGGTTGAGAACAAGGGTTCAAAAGGTGGGTGGAGAAGGGGGTAGATAAGGTGACCAGGCCATACCTGCTCTTCTGCAGCCATACCTGCTACCCCTGCCGTACCTGCTGGCTCGATAGCCACGGTGGATAAGCAGCAGCACGTAGAGCACGCAGCAGCCCAGCGAGACAGCGCCAAATATGATATACAGCCCAAGGAACTTCTGCATTGACAGCTGCACTGCCGAGTCTGCCTTTTGAGTCGACAAAACAGCCAGCTCATACCTGCTCGCGCGGTAGCCGCGGTGAATGAGCAGCAGCACATAGAGCACGCAGCAGCCCAGCGAGACAGCGCCGAATATGATATACAGCCCAAGGAACTTCTGCATTGACAGCTGCACTGCCGTGTCTGCCTTTTGAGTCGACAAAACAGCCAGCTCATACCTGCTCGCGCGGTAGCCGCGGTGAATGAGCAGCAGCACATAGAGCACGCAGCAGCCCAGCGAGACAGCGCCGAATATGATATACAGCCCAAGGAACTTCTGCATTGACAGCTGCACTGCCGAGTCTGCCTTTTGAGTCGACAAAACAGCCAGCTCATACCTGCTCGCGCGGTAGCCGCGGTGAATGAGCAGCAGCACATAGAGCACGCAGCAGCCCAGCGAGACAGCGCCAAATATGATATACAGCCCAAGGAACTTCTGCATTGACAGCTGCACTGCCGAGTCTGCCTTTTGAGTCGACAAAACAGCCAGCTCATACCTGCTCGCGCGGTAGCCGCGGTGAATGAGCAGCAGCACATAGAGCACGCAGCAGCCCAGCGAGACAGCGCCGAATATGATATACAGCCCAAGGAACTTCTGCATTGACAGCTGCACTGCCGAGTCTGCCTTTTGAGTCGACAAAACAGCCAGCTCATACCTGCTCGCGCGGTAGCCGCGGTGAATGAGCAGCAGCACATAGAGCACGCAGCAGCCCAGCGAGACAGCGCCGAATATGATATACAGCCCAAGGAACTTCTGCATTGACAGCTGCACTGCCGAGTCTGCCTTTTGAGTCGACAAAACAGCCAGCTCATACCTGCTCGCGCGGTAGCCGCGGTGAATGAGCAGCAGCACATAGAGCACGCAGCAGCCCAGCGAGACAGCGCCGAATATGATATACAGCCCAAGGAACTTCTGCATTGACAGCTGCACTGCCGAGTCTGCCTTTTGAGTCGACAAAACAGCCAGCTCATACCTGCTCGCGCGGTAGCCGCGGTGAATGAGCAGCAGCACATAGAGCACGCAGCAGCCCAGCGAGACAGCGCCAAATATGATATACAGCCCAAGGAACTTCTGCATTGACAGCTGCACTGCCGAGTCTGCCTTTTGAGTCGACAAAACAGCCAGCTCATACCTGCTCGCGCGGTAGCCGCGGTGAATGAGCAGCAGCACATAGAGCACGCAGCAGCCCAGCGAGACAGCGCCGAATATGATATACAGCCCAAGGAACTTCTGCATTGACAGCTGCACTGCCGAGTCTGCCTTTTGAGTCGACAAAACAGCCAGCTCATACCTGCTCGCGCGGTAGCCGCGGTGAATGAGCAGCAGCACATAGAGCACGCAGCAGCCCAGCGAGACAGCGCCGAATATGATATACAGCCCAAGGAACTTCTGCATTGACAGCTGCACTGCCGAGTCTGCCTTTTGAGTCGACAAAACAGCCAGCTCATACCTGCTCGCGCGGTAGCCGCGGTGAATGAGCAGCAGCACATAGAGCACGCAGCAGCCCAGCGAGACAGCGCCAAAGATGATATACAGCCCGAGGAACTTCTGCATTGACAGCTGCACTGCCGAGTCTGCAGCCAAAGAGGAGATACCGGAAGAGGCGGAGGAGGAGGAAGAAGAGGAGGAGGAGGAGGAGGAGGATATGCCGTAGCTGCTGCTGTCGCTGGTGCTGCTGGGTTGGGCGCAGGAGCCGTTGATCCCACTGAAATGCTGCTCTCGGATCTTCTGCAGCTGGCCCGACATTGTCAGCTGCACTAACGCCTGAGAGACGTCCAAACCCAGCTGCGAGCCCTTGGGAAAGGCCTGAAAATTTGGGTGGGGGAGGAAGGGGGAGGGAGACGGGGGGTTGGGGATAGTTGACGCCTGTTAAGAAAGGGCTGTCGCTGGTGCTGCTGGGTTGGGCACAGGAGCCATTGATTCTGCTGAAGTGCTGCTCTCGGATCTTCTGCAGCTGGCCCGACATTGTCAGCTGCACTATCGCCTGGGAGACGTCTAGACCCAGCTGCGAGCCCTTGGGGAAGGCCTGGGGGAAAGGGACGCGATGGGTGGGGGGAGGAGGGGGAGTAGGAGGAGGAGGGGGAGGGGAGAGGGGGGAGGGGGGAGGGGGGTGTCGATGCGTGTTAAGGGTTGCAGCTGCTGCAGCTGGCCCGACATTGACAGCTGCACTAACGCCTGGGAGACGTCTAGACCCAGCTGAGAGCCCTTGGGGAAGGCCTGGGTGGGAGGGGACGTGATGGGTTGGGGGAGGAGGGGCGTTGATGCGTCCCCTTCCTTCCAGGGGAATGAAGGGCTACTTCAGCCGCTGCGACTCGCTTCACCTTTTATCTACTGTTTATGTTTTTGTTCCTTCTCTTTTTCCTCCTGTTTATGACAATCTGGGACATCAAAATTACATGGCAGAGAGTGCTTACAAACGCGAGGTTGAGAAGCGAGAATGGCTGCGGCGCCAGGGCAACGTCGCAGAAGTCGAGGGAGAAGAGCTGCAGGTAGGGGCTCTCATCCACTATCACCCCCACCCGGCCCGAGGTTACATGCAGGACTGACTGCTTGAGAGAGAGAGAGACAGAGAGTGCTTACAAACGCGAGGTTGAGAAGCGAGAATGGCTGCGGCGCCAGGGCAACGTCGCAGAAGTCGAGGGAGAAGAGCTGCGGGTAGGGGCTCTCATCCACTATCACCCCCACCCGGCCCGAGGTTACATGCAGGACTGACTGCTTGAGAGAGAGAGAGACAGAGAGTGCTTACAAACGCGAGGTTGAGAAGCGAGAATGGCTGCGGCGCCAGGGCAACATCGCAGAAGTCGAGGGAGAAGAGCTGCAGGTAGGGGCTCTCATCCACTATCACCCCCACCCGGCCTGATGTCAGCGCCTGTGCATACTCATCCTCGTTATTGAGTGCCACCAGACGGTTCTGTAGCGAAGCAGCAGTCGGGTTGGGTGAGAAAGGATGGAGCAAACCGAGTTCACAAAAGGCAGGGCATCCACTAAATAGGGTACAGTAGAGTAGGGTAGGATAGAGTAGGGTAGGATAGAGTAGGGTACGGTAGTTAGGTTTGAGAATTTTTCTTTATCACGTCATGAGGCCCATCAGCAGAAGCAGGCGTACAAAGACTAGTCCTTGTGCAGCAAGAGTGCTTCTAAGGCGCCTGTCAATTAAAAGGTACCCCAGTTAAGCCCATATGGAGGAGGTACATGAACACTGGTCTCCCTTCCCCTTCCCCCCACCCCCCTTGCTCGTCTCAACCCTCATTACAGCATACCGCGGGGATGCCCATCTGCTGCAGGTACGCATTGACGAACGACCCCAGCTGGTACCCGATGAGAGTCTGGAAGGCACTTGTGAGAATTCTCAGAAGTAAGGCACCCAGCACTGAACAGCTTACCGCAGGGATGCCCATCTGTAGCAAGTACGCATTGACAAATGACCCCAGCTGGTACCCGATGGGGGTTGAGGTCGACGCGGCGGATCCAATGTCCTGGTGGTGGGGCCGTGTGGGATGCGGTGGGATGCGGTGGGAAGGGATGAGGCAGGCTTTGAGACGTCATGCAACAAGCACGTCAAGCATATATACTATAACATATGTATGTAGTATTCACATCTACATGTACAGTATATATGTATATGTATGTATATAGTACAGACTTGTCAGGGTTTAGGCACGCACAGTTGGATCACTTGTAACTTACCAGATCGTTTTTTAGAATTCTCAAAAACGGCGTGCAAAAAGTTACTCTTAACGTACCATTGCGGAGGGTTTGAGCTTGTTGACTGTGACAATAGACGTGAGGTTAGCCGTGTACATGGTGACTATAAGGAAGCCGACGATGAGAAACACGACCACAAAGAGCCGGGCGAGGGTCGTGTGCACAGGGTACTCTGCCGTGACAATAACAAGAGGAGGAGCAGCAGAACAAGAGTGTTTTGAGACGTCCCAAAACGAGGGTCGTGCGCACAGGGCACTCTGCCGTGACAATAACGAGAGAGGGCAATGGAACGAGAGGAAGGGCAGCGGAACAAGAGTTATACGAACTAGTGAGTCATTTGCTTGGTCATTGGAGCTTGCGAGTCAATGGAATGGTGAGCATTGGGACGGGACACCTGAAGTAAAGCTGTTTCCTGAATGCCCGTAAGTTGGCTTCTGCCGAACGCTGACGCACGTGGGGAGAGGTTGGCCGGGTTTTGAGATGCCTTAAGACCAAGACAATCTGAGGTGTCTCAAAACTTTGAATGCACGAGGAGATGCTGATGGACTGGACAGCACGCACTCACCCAGGATGGTGTAGAGGGTTTGCAGGCAAAAACGCAAGGAACTACCAAGTGCTGGCAAATAGCTCTGGAGATTCCACAATGAATGCACGAGGGGATGCTGATGGACTGGACAGCACGCACTCACCCAGGATGGTGTAGAGGGTTTGCAGGCAAAAACGCAAGGAACTACCAAGTGCTGGCAAATAGCTCTGGAGATTCCACAATGAATGCACGAGGGGATGCTGATGGACTGGACAGCACGCACTCACCCAGGATGGTGTAGAGGGTTTGCAGGCCGAACCTGCAGGTGGATGGATGGAGACGCACGGAGGCACATGGATGGAGATGGCGTTTTTTAGACGACTAATAATTAAAAAAAAAGGATAGAGACGCACGGAGGCACATGGATGGAGATGGCGAATTTTTAGACGACTAAAAAAAAAACAAAGGATAGAGACGCACGGAGGCACAAGGAACGAGGTGAGTGATGAGCGCTGCCAGGCCACACATCATCGCCACTTTGAGGCGCCTCAAAATCCGCGAGCAGTGAGGTGCTGCCAGCCCACACATCATCGCGAGCAGTGAGGTGCATTTTGAGGCGCCTCAAAACGCACGGAGGCACGAGGAACGAGGTGAGTGATGAGCGCTGCCAGGCCACACATCATCGCCACTTTTTAGCATCCTCTCTCAAACGCCACTCCTATATCGACAGTCTGAAACGTACCATGCAGCATTGAGAACCCGTTGGTGCAGCTTCCCTCTGAAGGCCCCGTTGGACTGCTCCTCCAGGAACGAGGTGATGAGCCCCGCCAGCACACAGACACAAGCACCACCTTTGAACATTCCAGAACGTAACTTCAATGTAAACAGTTCTGAAACGTACCATGCGGCGTTAAGCAGGCGCTGGTGCAGCTTCCCTCTGAAGGCCTCGCTTGACTGCTCCTCCAGGAACGAGGTGATGAGCCCCGCCAGCACAAACGAGGTGATGAGCCCTGCCAGTCTGAAACGTACCATGCAGCATTGAGAACCCGCTGGTGGAGCTTCCCCCTGAAGGCCTCGTTTGCCTGCTCCTCCAGGAACGAGGTGATGAGCCCCGCCAGCACACACATCGCCACCGTCACAGCCCACATGCTCGCTGTGAAGGGCTGAAACGCCAGCCATGGACTCGAGTTCTCCACTGCGTACCCCATCAGGCCCAGGCCTGATGGCTGGAAATAGGAGGACGGTTTGAAAGGGGATAAGGGAAGGATAGGAGGGACGCGGTGAAGGGAAGGGAGCGTGGAACTGTGAAGCTCCCCCTCCTCCAGGAACGAGGTGATGAGCCCCGCCAGCACACACATCGCCACTTTCACTCCCCAAATGCTGGCTGTGAAGGGCTGAAACGCCAGCCATGGACTCGAGTTCTCCACTGCATACCCCATCAGGCCCAGGCCTGATGGCTGGAAATAGAGGAGGACAGGGGGGTTGAAGGAAAGGAAGCATGGAGGCCTGAGCGACTGTTACACCCCACATGCTCGCTGTGAACGGCTGTGGATGGCTGGAATGCCCGCGCGAGCCAGGGACTTGAGTTCTGCACTGCGTACGCCATCAGCCCCAAGCCTGATGGCTGGGGAATTTGGGTCAAAAGGAGGAGGGCGATACAACACAGAAAGTTGTGATATACGAGAAGGAAAGGCGACTCACAAACATGAGTGTATAAAGGAGAGTGATTTGAAGGGAGAAGGAAAGAAAGACGGCTTACAAAGATGGGGTAGGTGAAGAAGACTGCTCTGTTGCGCGTCTCTGTGACTGTGATGTCTCCGATCGCCCCATCATATTTCTGCAGAGATGAATAAAATGCGGAGGGGAGGGAAGCATCTGAATGGGAACACAATCAAAAGGAAGAGGGAAATAGTGAAAATAGTGGAAAGGTGGCTGCCACTGTCCCATCCAGGTGTTATTGGGGAGGCTTTACCTTCCTATACTGCACAAGCTTTAGGGTGGGGCGTGCACATGCTACACCAGATCTCAGCACTGCGTTTCTCTCACTGGCTAAAGCACTAGCCTTGCCTGCTACAGCTGCACCCACCTTATCTGTTACAGCGAGCACCCACCCTGTCTGCTACAGCCAGCACTCACCTTGTCTGCTACAGCCGGCACTCACCCTGTCTGCTACAGCCGGCACTCACCCTGTCTGCTACAGCGAGCACCATCTGGTTGTAGCTGGGGGAGACGTCATCCTCGCCGTACTGCACAAACTCGTAATCGAGCGGGTACGGCAGCATGGCCACAGCTGCTTGGAAAACGTCGATGCAGAAGCCTGTGAAGCGGGCGTTGCCCTCTCCCTTGGAGATGTTCACAAACTGCTTGTAAACCTGAAGGGGTGGGTGGGAGTAGGGGTGGGGGGTGGGGAAGAAGGAAAGGGACACTGGGATGGGTTAGGGTACGGCAGCATGGCCACTGCTGCGTGGAAGACATCAATACAGAAGCCTGAGAAGCGGCCGTTGCCCTCTCCCTTAGAGATGTTCACAAACTGCTTGTAGACCTGAAGGGGTGCGCAGGGGAGTATGAGGCGGTTGGGGGGTGCGGGGAAGGGGAGTTAGGAAGGGAGATTGGATCGGGTATGGTATGGCTGGCCGCATAGCAACAGCTGGAGGGTACGGCAGCATGGCCACAGCTGCCTGAAAGACATCGATGCAGAACCCTGAGAAGCGGCTGTTGCCCTCTCCCTTGGAGATGTTCACAAACTGCTTGTAGACCTGAGGAGGAGGAGAGGGGGGGGGACAAGAGGGGAAGACAAAGGGGAGGAGAGAGGGGAAACGGGGAATGAGGCCTGACAAACTGCTGGTTGAAGAGAGAGGGTGGGAAGAGGTGGAAGAAACAAACACGTAGTCGAGCAGGTAGGGCAGCATGGCCACAGCTGCCTGGTGGAAGACGTCGATGCAAAACCCTGAGAAGTGGGCATTGCCCTTTCCCTTGGAGATGTTCACAAACTGCCTGTAGACCTGAAGGGGTGCGCAGGGGAGCACGAGGCAGGTTGGGGAGTGCGGGGAAGGGGGGGTTAGGAAGGGAAATTGCATGGGGTATGGTATGGCTGGCCGCATGGCAACAGCTGCACGGAAGACATCTATACAGAAGCCAGCGAAGAGGCCGTTGCCCTCTCCTCTGGAGATGTTCACAAACTGCCTGTAGACCTGAGAGGAGGGGGGGAGAGAGGGGGGTATGGAAGGGGATTGGATGGGGTACTGTACGGAACGGTTCGGTATGGTAGGGTATGGCAGTATTGGCTGCAGCTGGTCAGAAGAGGTCGATGCACACGCGCACGTACGCTAGAACACACACGCATGCACGCTTACACTCGCGCGCGCGCAGACACACAAAGAGAGAATACACACCACTTTATTTGGAACAGCCAGTCGAAGTTTATTCTTGGGAAATGCGCCTACGGGTGTCTGTATGCAACGCCATTAAGGGGGGAAGCGCAGCAAGGCACAGCAAGAGAAGGAGGGGTGGATTGACTGTTGAGTCGACTCAAAAAAGGGGATGGGCGCCTGCATGCCGAGTGAGTGGTCATGAGGGAGGAGGCGCAGCAAGGCACAGCAAGAGGAGGGGGCGGGTGGGAAATTAAGAGAGGCGTAGAGCGAGTGGCAAAAGTGTGAAGAACAAAACGACATGTCTTTTGAACATGTATGACTCATACTCACTTGTTTCACCCCGCCCGGAAACACTATGTTGAGTGTTTCTTGCTGGTTCTTGGAGGGAATCTGAAATAGGCCGACGGAAGGAGAGAGAGCAGCAGGAGAGGAGAGAGGGAGAGGCGAGGAGGAGGGATGGTTGAGACTTGGGCAGCAAAGGTAGGAATGCCTAATTTCGACACGGCATGATCGAGCAAGCATGACACGGAGCATGGCACGCGGCACACGGCAGCACATGACAGTACACCACATCACACCGAATCACAGCGCATCCCACCGCGACCCACCGCGTCCCGACGTGTCACAACACACCTGCAGCGAGGGCGTGAGCTGCCAGGCAGGCTGGCGTTCAACACGTTGAGCACCTCCGTGGCACCGCATCACATCGCACCGCACCGCACCGCACCACACAACACCACAGCACATTGCGCAACAACCAAACACACCACATGTCACCGCACCACAGTACACCGCACCTGCAGCGAGTGCATAATCTGCCAGGCAGGCAGGAGTCCAAACGCCGACGCGTGTATCCACACCGCACCACACCGCACCACATTACATCACACCGCAGCGCACCTTAAGAGAGAGCGCGAGCTGCTAGGCAGGAATCCAGAACCCAACGCGTGTGACCATGGCGTTGACATTGAGCACCACATCACATTTCACCACACCGCACCATACCGCACCTTAAGAGAGGGTGTGAGCTGCCTGGCAGGAGTCCAGAAGCCAATGCGTGTGGTGGTGGCATTCATCACATTGAGCACCTCTACAACGTCCACACTACACCACACCGCACCATATTACATTGCTCCGCACCACATCGCACCTTCAGAGAGGGCGTGAGCTGCCAGGCAGGCGTCCAGAAGCCAACCCTCATGGCCGTGGCGTTGACCACATTAAGCACCTCTATGACGTCTGCTCGCAGGTCGCCGTGGGGAGTGAGGGAGATCCTGTTGATATGAAGGTTGGGCGGTTTGGGAGAGGGTGGGGGGGGGTTTGGGAGAGGGTGGGGGGGTTTGGGAGAGGGTGGGAGGGGTTGGGAGAGGGGAGAAAGGGCAGTGTCTCAACATGCGTTGACCACTTTAAGCACCTCTACGACGTCTGCTCCAGGTCGCCCCGGGGGGTGAGGGAGATCCTGGAGAGAAGCGGACGAAGATGGCGGGGTGGGGAGTGGGGACCGTGTCAGCACACGTTCAATCAACACATTGACCACTTCCCTGCCGTCTGCTTGCAGGTCGCTGTGGGGAGTGAGGGAGATCCTGGAGGATGGGGGAGCGGCGAGGAGGATGGGAAAGGGGAAAGGGGGGGAAGGGAGAGAAAGAGGCTCAAAGTTAAGGCCTCGGAAAATGCTCGTACCTATGAAAATGCTCGTACCTATGAAAATGCTCGTACCTGTCTATGAAGCCTTGGGCGCCTTACCTCCCTATGAAGCTTGGGAGTCTTACCTCCCTGTAAGGCCTGATATTATGTCAAAAGGCTTGTACCTCCCTGTAAAGCCTTGGGAGTCTTACCTCCCTGTGAGCCCTTCGAAGCTTGTGTTGAGAATGGCTTGCCGGAGTGCTGCACCCACTGATATGGCGAGGGGAGGTGACGAGTGGGAAAAAACGATGGGGAAAACAATGAAGAAAAGCAAGAATTGACGGCAAGAATGGGGGCGATGCTCCTCTCAAGGATGTCAAATGAGAAGGGTGAAGAAATGGGAATAAAGAGATAACACAGGAGGGAGGGAAGGGAGCCCAGTGGAGGGCAGGAGATAAACAGAAACGGAAACAACGGGTGGAAAACAATCAGATGCACAACAAATCTCCTGACTTGTCTGAGTTGCGCTGCGCTGCCTGTGAGGCAGGCTCACGAGAAAGAGGTGACTTTTCATCGATTCAAAACAAAACTCACCTGTGAGGCAACCTCACATCACAAGAAGCAAGCACCCACCTGAGTTGCGCTGCAGGCTCTGCAGCATTGGAATGAGCCCGTCACGCGCCCCTGCCCCTGCCACCGGCAGCATCAACGCATCCTTCCTCGCAAAAGCAGACAGCACAACAGAGTGTAACCCTCTTCCGCTGCTACTGCTGCCGGTGCTTCCGCTGCCACCGCCACTGCTGGTGGCGCTGCCTGTGGTGCTGCCGATGGTGCTGCTGGTGCTGGTGTTGGTGTGCAGCAGGGAGTGAAGGGCGAGCGAGATGAGGTAGACAGCATCGTAGGCTGTGAGGCTGTAGGTCTTTGGGTCCTCCTCTGCTGCCCCTGGGAACTGCAGTGGACTCAGCTGCTTCCACCGCTGCTTGAAAGAAGACAGGCGCAGTGACGGGGGTAGATACGAGGAGGTGATTATCAGACCCTGGGAAATGAGGGGCGGGAGGGAGAGGGGAGGAGGGTAAGAGGAGAGGAGAGGAGAAGAGGGGACAGATAAGAAGGCTGTGACTGTGAGATTCTGGTATTTGAGTAGGATTAACGGTGTGGTGGGCTGCAAGGCTGTGGGTCTTTGGGTCCTCTCTGCTGCCCCTGGGAACTGCAGTGGACTGAGCTGCTTCCACCGCTGCTTGAAGGTTGACAGGCACTGAGACGGAGGCAGATACAAGGCGGTGATGATCAGACCGTGGGAACGGATGAGGGGAAAGAAAGGAGGTTGCGATTATCGGACCCAGGGAGAGGTGTTTAGCAGGACGGGGTGAAGGTCAATGGGGCAGATAGGAGGTCGTGATGATCAGACCCTTGGAGAGGGGATTGGAGGATTGGGAAAGAGAGGAGAGGAGAGGAGAGGAGAGGAGAGGAGAGGAGAGGAGAGGAGAGGAGAGGAGAGGAGAGGAGAGGAGAGGAGAGGAGAGGAGAGGAGAGGAGAGGAGAGGAGAGGAGAGGAGAGGAGAGGAGAGGAGAGGAGCGGAGGAGAGGAGAGGAGAGAGAGGAGAGGAGAGGAGAGGAGAGGAGAGGAGAGGAGAGATGAGGAATCAGGAAGTCTCAAAAGCCATATGTGTGCTCTCCTCATGCACACTCATGCACCCTCCCTCTCACCCCCTCCCTCTCACCCCCTCCCTCTCACTCACACAACTCTGCACTCTACAGTGTGGAGGTGTTGGCCTCTCTGCGTACTCACCTCCTGCATCGTCACACACCGTCATGCACCATGACGCACCCTTGTGGACCCCCTCACACACCTCTGCACCCTGCAGTGTGGACGTGTTGGCCTGAGCAGCCCCCTCCGATGCGATCCATACATAGTTTTTCCCTATCATGCCCAGCTTGCTCGCTGCGATCGTGGGAAGGATAGGGTTGAAGCAGACACGTATCTTTCTGACCCAATTGATTCTGTTAACTTTACCATGGTATTAGAGGAAAGGAATCCAAAATTGTTACTCTGTTACTGTCCAACCAAAAATGTTATCTACAGTAAAATATGAAATCACACCCAAGATCTTACAAATATCGAGCGAGCGCAAACATATTGAGTGTACCTGTATCGAGTATGAGAGCAGACATCGTGGAGGATGCGTGTAGCACATAGACAGAGGAGTCGACTGCCTTGCTGGCAGTCAAAGCCTGTGCCACGTCATCAGCTGTCCACGTGGACTTGACAGGCACCCTCTGGGAAATGTGCACATACGACGCCTTTCAGGTGTATGGGTAGGGATGGGAGAAAAGTGGTTGAGAAAAAGGGAGATAAGTCTGCCTTTTGAAACAACAGGCACCCTCTGGGCAATGTGCACATACGACGCCTTTCAGGTGTACGGGTGGTGGAAGGGGTATGGATAGTGGGAGGAGGAACGGGAAGAAATACGGGAGGGAAGGGGATGAATGTGGCTGTGAGAGCGTGCGTGTGTGTGTGTGTGTGTGTGTGTGTGTGTGAGAGAGAGAGAGAGAGAGAGAGAGAGAGAGAGAGAGAGAGAGAGAGAGAGAGAGAGAGTGTGCACACCTTTTTCTCGAGGAGGTAGGTCATGAGTGCCGTGATGCCGTTGCGGCCAAAACGGTTATCCGTGTAGACCGCCACAAACTGCCTCCACTTGTAACGCAGCAGCAGCGCTGAAGCAGATAGAGAGAGAGAGAGAGAGAGAGAGAGAGAGAGAGAGAGAGAGAGAGAGAGAGAGAGAGAGAGAGAGAGAGAGAGAGAGAGAGAAACGGAGGGAAGTGGGGATATTAGCGCGTCTCTTCCCAAGCGGGTTGTCTGTGTGGACTGCCACAAACTGCCTCCACTTGTAGCGCAAGAGCAGTGCTGGCATGATGAAGCAGGAGAGGGAGAGACATGTCACATGGGAGAAAACAGGGGGTCACTGCCAGCATATCTGCACACATCGCCTCATCTGCACACATCGCCTCATCTTCTTTGCACAGTACGTGCCACAATGCCTTACCAGCTATGGCTTGCATGTCGACGCCATTGTTGGGAATGGTGCGCGTGGAATACGGCCGAGCACCCCCTACTGTCAGCTGCATGCGTGTGTTATGTTAACCTACCTGCACATGGTGTCTTACCGGCTATGGCTTGCATGTCGACGCCGTCATTGGGAATGGTCCGCATGAAGTACGGCCGAGCACCCCCCACTGTTAGCTGCACGTCTGTTGCTGCCGCCGACACAAAGGGGGTCTGTGGGGAGGGAGTCAACGGTGGGACGAGCGAGGGAGTGATGGTGATGGTCAAGGGTGGGATGAGGGAGTGATGGTGAAAGGATAGGATGGGATGAGGGAGTGATGGTGAAAGGATAGGATGGATGAAGCATTCAGCTGCACATCTGTTGCTGCCGCGAACACTAAAGCGGTCTGCTGCATGCAGTCAACAGTGGGAGCAAGACCAAGCATGAAAGGACATATTTTAAGCACCTCAGAACATCCCAAATTCGAAATTGGAACGGTCAAAACATCGACTCAGTTCACCTTTGAGACGCCTGCCTAGCTTGTGCCTAGCTTGTGCCTAGCTTGTGCCTAGCTTGTTGTGCCTAGCTTGTTGTGCCTACCTTGTGCTGCTTACCTGGGTGGCTGTGGCAAGCGGGCTGACGAGAGCTGATTGGTCAGATGTCCCCGGACCTACTATTGCCACTGGACGCTGCTGCACTGCTGCCATGGCTGCAGGCGCAGGGGGGCAGGAAGGGGAGGAAGAGGAGGAAGGGGAGAGTGGTCACGAGTAGTGATGGATAAGGCATCCTCAATAGGAGCTGGTTTGGTAGTCTACTAGGCCTATGATTGCCCCTTGGCGGGCGCTGCCACACTGCTGCCATGTTTTTTAGAATTCTCATCCCCAGTAGGAGCTGGTTTGGTAGTCTCCGGGCGTATGATTGCCACTTGGCGGGCGCTGCCACACTGCTGCCATGTTTTTTAGAATTCTCATCCCCAGTAGGAGCTGGTTTGGTAGTCTCCGGGCGTATGATTGCCACTTGGCGGGCGCTGCCACACTGCTGCCATGTTTTTTAGAATTCTCATCCCCAGTAGGAGCTGGTTTGGTAGTCTCCAGGCGTATGATTGCCATTTGGCGGGCGGCGGGCGCTGCCACACTGCTGCCATGGCAGCAGGGACAGCGGGAGAGGAAGCAGAGGGCCGGACAGACGCAGGGAGTGCGAGAGGGATGGGGAAAGCAGAGGGCCGGACAGACGCAGGGAGTGCGAGAGGGATGGGGAAAGCAGAGGGCCGGACAGACGCAGGGAGTGCGAGAGGGATGGGGAAAGCAGAGGGCCGGACAGACGCAGGGAGTGCGAGAGGGATGGGGAAAGCAGAGGGCCGGACAGACGCAGGGAGTGCGAGAGGGATGGGGAAAGCAGAGGGCCGGACAGACGCAGGGAGTGTGAGAGGGATGGGGAAAGCAGAGGGCCGGACAGACGCAGGGAGTGTGAGAGGGATGGGGAAAGCAGAGGGCCAGACAGACGCAGGGAGTGGGGAAAGCAGAGGGCCAGACAGACGCAGGGAGTGCGAGAGGGATGGGGAAAGCAGAGGGCCAGACAGACGCAGGGAGTGTGAGAGGGATGGGGAAAGCAGAGGGCCAGACAGACGCAGGGAGTGAGAGAGGGA